CAAAAAACTACGACGTTTCGATCGCAACACAAGCAATCATCACCAGGAGAAAAAAATAGCTATTTGTTTTCCTGATGACGATTGCTTGTGTTGCGATCGAAACGTCGTAGTTTTTTGTTCTTTTTTTGTTATTTTCTTTAAACCTATCTACGTGACTTTACCGAAAGACCCAAGAAAATGAAGGCAAACAAACTAAACACAAATATCAGTTGAAAATAAACGAGTTTTCAATCTAGACAGGCCCATGAGACTTGTAAACACCCCTAGGAGTCTTGCAGAGTCACAGGTGGTCTTCAAGATAGACACAACACAGAACAAACTGCTCTTAACTGGTAAACACAATAAATGTTATAAGCTACCCCTCCTCCTCTCACAGTATTTTGATGAATTGTCAGATGTCAATGGCTGCTCCATTCAAACCCGTTTGTCGTCCCATGTTTACGGTCTGGGACGCTTGTGTTGCGCCCGAAACGTCGGGATTTATTTTATTTTAAACCTACGTGACTTTACCGAAAGAACCAAAGAGCCTGGTTCATATTGTCTCGGTTTTTTTGTCTCGTTCGTGCAGCTTTGTTCCCTATGTTAGAAGTAACTTAGGATTGGCGTGTTGTTTTGTGTACATAATACTAACCTGTAAATGACTGAGTTTTACAAAGAGTATATCGTGCATGTACGGACGATATTTGATATTCAATTGATGCATTGATACAGGCTGGTTTGAAAGTTTATTTCTGAAACAAGCAAAAAAACACTTCTAAATCACAGTGAACCCAGTCTGGTGATGTCATGAGAGTGATGCGACTCTAAATTATTTTTCTTATCAAAAAGTTGGTGTTGGACAGCCTTGGACACGCGAAGCTTTGCTGTTTAACCACAACAATTTTGGGCGGTATTTTTCCCTGAGCAGACCTTAGAGTAATTAAACAGACAAAAGGTTGTGAAACGCTGGGACGCCACCAAGAACTTGGCGAGCCACGAGAGAACCCAAAGCATCCACGTAAAGGCAACAAGGCATGAACCGACTTGTAGATTAACGGCTAGGGTGACAGTACTAGACAACTTCACAGTACACAGGCCTCGGTGTTTATTGTATCAAACAACTGCCTAGTATTCGTGTAATTGCTTTGTGGTTTTCTAGTGCACGTGGGATGCTCAGTTGCAAGCTAGGTGGCATAAAATAATGAATATGATGGTTAGACATTACATTAATTTAACAAATTAGGGGTGTGATATCCGATTGGAGTAAATGGATGTGTTTAACGATGACGTCACCGACTACTTTGGAAACGCAGAGAACGTTACCTTCTGTGAAAATCATACTAAAAAATACATCGACACGAAAACGTGTGATCGGGTTTTTTTCATATATATGGGGCGTTAATTGTCATGCGCTGCGAACTTCCACCTGAATCACCGCCGTGCCAATTTGGAGCCTTGGCGCAGTGCCCGGTCAGCCAGTTGGTACAGACAGAGGCACGCCAACTATTCCGGTGTTGCGGCACAGGGGACACCGACAAGTCAGACAGTGCACAAACTCGACATGACCCATGCCAACATGCGCCCGCCACGTACCCACGGGGACCCCACCAACCGTGCACCAGGGTCGCAAAGCTGTGGGGGTGTTCCATTCATCCACATTGGAGGCAAGGCGGGTAACCGGCATGTGACGGAGCGATTGACCGGCGTGTGGGCGTTGCATCGCCCTGTGATGTACTCAGCTCCGGTTTCTGCGCCAAAGCTGCCATCTAGTGGATAATAGCGGCCCTTGCCACGGCGATTATTATCCACTGCATCCACCACCCCTCAGAATGGCGGTGGTGTAAACGCCACATATAATTTGCGACCAAAAACTGAGGAAGCCACACGTTGCTATGGGAAGACATGACAAATGGTTGAGGCGGATTAAACGAACCAGCCAAATGCGAGCCATCACCCTATCGCTAAACAGCCAGACAGTCAGCCACGAGGACTCCCCTTTCCACTGGCCCAAATCCTATCCCTCGACCCACTTCCGGCACGTAGCCATGGCACCCTTTCTGACCGACCATGTGTTTCCTGATCAGTCTCGGTGCTCACAGACTCACACAGTGTGACGTTTGGAAATAAACGAAGTACGCTTCAACGCAAAAACAAACTAAAACTGCTCTTCTCGCCGATGGCCCAAATTACAAATTAATGGGAATGACCCATGGTTTGATAATGCCACAGCGAGTACTTGAAGCCCAGTCAGATGAAGCAGCCTCACTCAATTTTCGAGTTCACTGCTCAAAACGTCGTCGTACATTGATGTTATATCTGGTCATAAAAAGTCTTTAGGTGAGCTCTATTGGCCAGAATTTGAAAAATGTGAATAGCTTTGTAAACATGACACTGTTAACGGGTGGTGTTGGGTTAGTGATAAGAATTTTGGCATGTATACTTCCAAGTGGTCGACATTTTAATCTCTTCTGTTGTAGGTACACACCTAGGCTGTGAATCTCACTATCCACACGAGGTTTGAAGCTTAATGAGAAAAAAAAACTTTAAAGTTAGTCAACCAAGTGATTATGGAACTATACTGAAGGCAATGACATACATTTTAAAAAACAACTATAACAGCAAAATCTTTTTTCAAAAAAAAGTCTCAGACTCGTGCATGATAAGCCCAGACACACAGCAAAGGTACGGGATGTATCTATAAGAGCCGCCTGTCTCTTGGAACGCATCTTCGTTTAAACCGTGCTGCTGCACACAGTGTGGGTCCTCATCTTTAATTAAAGAGTTGGGCTGAACGTGCGGAACCCTATTCATTCATCGCAGGAGCTGCAAGGGCCCCGCAGACCGGGCCTGTGCAGACACGTGCCCAAGCCACGCCGACGTAAGCGCTGCTTGCTCGGAAATTAGCTTCTGCACCACGGAGCCAAGCAAGTATGCGTGAGCTCACCGCTCTGCCGCCGCCACACGGCAAACGTGGCGCAACGTGCAACTCGTCGCTGGCCGCGTCGCGCCGACCCTCCGCAAGGCCCCTCCGGCCCGTGCCGTCCCATGCCATTCCAAACCAACACAAGAACCTCCTCCTACCCCGCAGGGCACCGGTGGCAGAGGCGGAAAGTCACGCGACTTCTTTTCAGATGTCTAATTTCTTATTCAATTGCACCGCGTAACACGTGGCATCACTTAAAAAAGTGACAACGATGCAAGAGGCAGTGGTGGCGAACTCAACACAGCACTGCCGTCCCGCTCCGAAATCGCCACGTAAGCCGCTGCAAAACTGTTTCTGGAACACAGGCCGATGTCGTGCAGCGGTGGTTCAATAGAAACGCAAGAGCAACCCAGTTAATTTTCAGTCACCCGCGTTATTATCATAGGCTGGTTACGTGAACGCATCGGTGAAAGGTGAGCGGGCAACGGCGAACGTAACGTACCCGCATGGACACCGCCTTTGTTGATAATGGAGCTTCGACCCCGGAGTGGGGACAACGTTGCAGGAGCTCGGATGATTCTAACCGGACACTGTATTAATGCTGCATGCAGATAAAGGCTTTCAATCGTGCAACAGACCACAGGCACAGGAGGATTGATCAGGGAGTTCGTGACAAGCCCGTGGGCCTTGGCCGCGTGTTGAACCAAGGTCCCATCACCCCCGTGCCGCTTAGAGCTGAATTGACAACACTGCTGCCCATAAAAATAAAAGTACAGCAAGTACAGCCAATCTGAATCGTTAATGGGACCCACAAGGTGATGGGTGAGTTCGTTAGACACGTATCGATTCATGCTACCAGCGAATCAGTGTGGGAATTCAGTGTCAACATTCGATTAAAGAATTGATTTTATTTTAAACCATTGTGGTGAATGTCGTGCCTCCCGTGGCTACAGGATTCATGTGAACCCAATTGCACACAACAATTACAAAACTAAAATAATTGATTTTGCTGCATGTGTCATGAGTGGAACAATCAATGTTAACTATGAAATTGGGAAAAGGGGCAAATTTGGCTGGGATTAGGGTTAAGGCTACCAGATTGATTGAATGTTGCACTACAGCTCTCTACAGAGATACACGTCGTGAATAGTTTAGTTGTGCTGTGTCACAGTTTAACCTTACTTCAGGTGTACGACCGCCAAAGATGATCGTCACAATGCGTCAGCGTTTACCTTCCTCACTTAGGGTCTGCACAAAAACACTTTACATGACAAATGGGTTTTGGAGCTCTTTAAGAATAATGAATAAAGGGTACAAAAAGATCTATGATAACAGACCAAGTATTTTTTTATGTTATGGTCTACTCTGTATATGCGGGTATATGAGCATGTCTTTGGCATGTGTGAGTATATGTTTCCGCGCATGTGTATTTATGCCTGCATGTACATGCAAGGGCATTATGTATATGTTGTGTGTACGTGGTGATGCATTTCTTAAAAGTACTGTGCTTAGATTCCACCAGCGACCCAAGTTTGATTCCCGCTCACGACCAATAAGAGTGGCAGAGAATATTTGAATCGGTCCTGGGACTCACTTAGGTTGACTTGGCCTTAAATAAGTACCTGGTGCAGTGTGTAAACATCAGTATTGGGCAGACAAAGGCAGCCGGTGTGATATTGGCCACCTACCCCCTCGTGTGCCGTATCAGTCTTCGTAGGTGCTCGCTAACAGCACTTGCCCCAACAGTCTGTTCAGGCTAAACGGGGAATCTTAGTCTTTGTGGGCGAAGGTTTGCACATGCGAGTGTTCACGTGTCAGTGAGTGGCGGTCGCGTACGTTTGCATGTGCACGAGTGTTGGTGTAAGCATGTGTGCGCGTGTTTGTATGTGTATAACGAATCATCATTGAAGAGCAACACGCACGTAAAGCCCCCGAGAAGCAGAACCTAAATCCCCTCGAAGAGAGTCTTCGCCTCATCTCACAAACACAGCCGCCATGGTGGCGGTGTTCAGTAAACACACACAGTGTAACAAAACACTCCTCCTTGTAACCGTGATCTGTACTCTGAAACGTTATTCATTGTTACCGGGGAAAATACCTTGGAGTGCATTCTTCATCCGATACTGGAGCCACTCTGAAAGGAAAGAGAAACAGACAGTGAGCACACAGCCGGATCATTCAGCCTTCACTGCATGCGTGCACTTACCACAGCAAAATAAAACTGAAGAGTTTTCAGAGAGAGAGGCGTACACACAGCGGCAGGCACGGGCCGCGCGCGTGTGCACGCGCTGGCTTGCGATAGCATCGCCGTCTCGCGATAGCGCCGCCGTCGCCACATGACACATGTACCAGTCACCATACCCCCATGGCCGGCATTAAGTTTTAATCTCCTTGAGGTCCAGCGAGCTCTAATTCAGAGATAAAGATACGACCCTGTGCTCGGGTGACACGTACAGTACAACTGTTTCCACTGCCCACATTGAAGGCTGTTCTTCAAATCGAGCAACTCGGAAATCTCAATTGCAGTCGACAGAGCCACTCCCCAAGCTCAACGTCCACCTGGTCTGTCATCAGCAGCATGGTGTTAAGACGTTGTTAAGACACCCCAGATGAAGCCAGCAGGAACGTTTCCGATGCACAAGCATAACGATCTGACCGGATACTCTTCCATCGGCTACAGAGGCCGTGCATAGAGTATTTTAAAAACCAGCCGCAATCGCTCCCCCACACCCCTGCTCAGACCCAGCACGCGGTGCCATTTCCCAATTTGATCAGGGTTGTCTGTCCTCGCTGGGAAGCTGCTTTTATTGGCCGGAGCACACCCAGGACCAGTGTTGCATGAATTGTATAACTGTAATGCGGTGCAATCCGGAGACTGGGAACACAGTGGCTTGCTCGCCCCACCAGACAATGGCGCCTGACCGCCAGACACGCACTCTCACGTTACCCCAGCAATAAAGGCCTTATCCCCAGCGAAAAAAATAAGATTCTCCAAGCGAGCGTTCCGCTGCATTTCCTTCAGCTGTTAACTTCCATTAACTTGTGCTGGCTCTCCAATGTGTTCTCGGGTTGTACTGCGTGTTGTTGGGCATGATGTCTGACGTTTCGCTCCACATGCCAGGAGCCTCTTCTGGCACCAACAGCATGCGGCACAACCCAAAAAACAGATGTGAAGGATTGACTTCTGTGCAGAAGGTTGAAAATGTCGACACGCGGCATAATTTTGTACGCGAGCTACAGTCTCATTGACATTTACAACTCACAAGATTGAATCTGCTCGCGCGCTCTTACAGGCCCGATCAATCGGCTGCAGACAATGTGTGCCCGCTTTCAACTTCAGAACCCACGCATCTGTCATGGGCTGTTTCACTCGCGTGCAACTTTAACAAGTGCTGTGCGCTTCCCAGGGAGCCGCAGTGAATGCGTGGCGTTTCATCTCATCCTCATGAAAAAAAAACCGTTGCAAAAACAATAATTAAAAAGTCACGAAAATAACTGTGCTGTGAAATGGGCTTGGTGATGTCAAAATCTTTGTTCAACGTGAAGTCGTCCATTGTGAGACCAAACGAGTCTGTCTGGGTATTCAGGTGCCCCTGCATTAGGTGTGCCCAATCAACTCACCTACGGCAGTGTTCATGTTCGCATAACGCTCATCCACACAGCTCCCATTGTTATAACGCGCTGCCCTGGTGTAATTATGAGCACACTGGGCTTGAAATCTAGAGGTCTCCGGTTCAATTCCACTTACTGATATGGCAGTTGAAACAATGGGGCAAAAGTTTCTCAAATGCCACCCCCACTCTTTCCCCCTCTCTTCCAGCTTTATCCACCCAAGCAGTGTAAATGCATACACTAGCGGGTCACGTGTGGTGGTGAGGTAAAGTGTGGGTAGGCCCACCTTTTCCAACATGTCTGGTCAATGTGGAAGAGTAGCGAACATACTACGCGAGAGTTCGATCTCGAGGAGGCCCGTCTGCCAACAGTATAGTGAGCCAGCAATTGCAGGGCCAACTCCTCCTCCTCCCCCCGTGATTCTGTCACAATTCGGCACAATTCTTGTTTTGATATTACTAGTGGCTGGAGGGGTCACGAGAGTCCATTATATGATTGAATAAAACAAATTTTTACACATACAATTAGATACATGTGTAGTGACAAAGAATCGGCCACTTAGCAGCATAGCGCTTGTTGCTGGCAGGGAAGGGGATCTGCAGTTATAGCAGCCCTGACTGACAGCAGGTCACATGATAAATCAGAGAGAGGGATGTAGGGGAAAGGTTATGGAAGGGGCACATCGAGAACCTGCTAGGAGGTTCCAGAAGGGGGGCGTGGCCAGGACGGAGCCAGGCCACACTGACAGTATGAGAGGGGCCACGGGAAGGGACCTCGGGGCTGTCGTTTGGAGTGGGATCCTGTCGTGCTGCTGGAGTCTTCGTCGCCATCTTCACCATCTCGGCGTCGCCAGTCAAGCAGTCTGCCAGCTGTCCTGACTTGGTACCATAGTTGCTAAAGTGTGAAACGTTAAGGCTGTTAATAAACAGTAGCGTCTCTGAGTCAGTAACTACACATGTGTAGAGGAGTGAAATACGTGGTGCGCAATTAACTAGGGCAACTGAGGGCAAACAGGTGCGCGTGTGCAACATGAGGTTGCACAGACAACTACCAGTTGTTAAGGGGGCAAAGCAGGTGCAAACAGTGTCAACCAGTTGTGCATGTTGAGACCAGAGGTGTTGCCAGGGAGACGGGAGATAAGGATTTATTGATGGGCCAACAGGCGCTGGCCTGGCGAGAGCTTAAAGAGACGCACGAGAGGTCTCGGATAATTAGCAGAATGATATAAGGGTGTGTGCGTGCGCGGAGAGGGAGTTGTTGCCGGGGTCGAAGAGTGAAGCGCCGCTGCCGCTCCAGCCGTCAACAGGACCTCAACCCTCACTCCGTCGCCGGGCGGGTGTTGGCTGATCCCCCCGCCTGGGATAGACGGGTGAGTGGGTCTGAGGGAGCGTAGGTGAGGGCATCGGTGGAGATGTACAGTTGCTGTGTGCGGAGAGGCTGTGTGCGGAGACGCTGTGTGCGGAGACGCTGTGTGCGGAGTCGCTGAGAGCAGAGCTGCCGAGTGCAGGATAAGTGGAGGTGGAAGGTAGATAAGAGTGGGGAGAGGTTAAACATAAGTGACCGTATAGTTATAGAGATGCCTACAACTGGTGCAAGAATAGGTGAATAAAGTGTAAGCAGGTGACTTGTTACGTGTCAGTGTGAGTAATTTTAAAAGACACTACACATGTATACTGAGCTTAAGAATCAACGTTCTTTCTGAACCGATGCATCACTCCACCCTGAGTAGCTATCTACCAATCTTTAGTGGTGCACAAGCACAAATCAACAAAAAAGCTCACCATTCGATATTAACAGAGGTGGTGCTAATGACAAACATGGGGACTATTTTCTTGATTTTCACAACGAAAGCCAAATATGGATTGTTTGTTCCATATTGTAAAACTGACTTTTTATTTTCGCTTTTATTTCGTGTCCTTCGGGCTTTATTCAAGCAAAGCAATTTATATATTTAATCTGGCGTGGACTGGCAGGCATCTGTCTCGTTTGTTTCAACGCCTTGAGCTCTACGCAAGAGAACGACGGCACCCTGCACCACGGAAAAATCCAGCTCGTGGACCGTTTGGTCCCCCCCACAGAAGCAGAATTGGACCCGGTCACACACAGATGATGGACCGCAGGAAATATCAACCGTAACCGCTGGCAGCCCGGGAACCGGGGCACAGCATAGGGGAGAGCTCTACAGCACTGGTCAATAACGGCGTCCAAGGTTTGGGGAGGGAATTTTCATGTTTTTGCGGGCAAACCTTATATGGAAAATGCACGTCGGGCAGCTGTGCCTAATTGTGACGCAGACGTGAGCCGAAAAGACGCTATGCGGCGCAGATACCTAGGGCAAATTGCAGTAACGCGCTCGGCAGAGCAAAAAAACACAGCCTAATAAATGTAAACACTGCATGCCGCCCCGTATCACGTCAATGAATCTAATGTGAATATCATCTCTCCGTGTCCGAGGTTGTTATAAAAGAATGTGCTAAACGGAGCCTTTACAAACAAACAGGGCTATGCTAGAGGACGAGACACAGGGTGAGGGGCATCACGGGTGAAAATCGTACGAGAAATACTTAAATACTCACTTATTCTTCTTCTCACGACCACACGTGCTGAATTGTGTGGCGTGAGCATCGACTATTTGAAAATTCTGCCAATCACATTTTTACATGCAAATGTTACCTTGAGACTAATGGCAAGGAGCAGAGAATCAAACAGAAATACAATTCAGTAATGATCCATTTATTCCATTTTTAAATAAAAATCGTGACAATTCATCAAATCGCGTAGATTAATTATTACAAGCCCGGTGAGAATTACTGCCTGTTAAGTGTCAGTTGGGGCTCCCTGGGGGGTCTCTGCTCGTTGCAGGGCCGTTGGATTGAAGAGAGATACAACCACTACGCTCGCACATTACTCGTCTCTTAGAGTGTATTTTTACAGCCACCCCCAACCTAAATGCAGCAATAAGCAATGGGGCAATCTCTCCCATAGCTGCAGCTCTCCCCGAGCTCTATCGCAGGCAAGCAAGACACTGGCAAACCTTCACAAGAGGGCTCGTTAAAGATTCCATCAATTCAGCCATTCACTGTGGCCAGACGAGATGCGAATCAAGGGGCAGGACAGGCCAAAGACAGAGAAATTCTTCTGCCTGTGTGCTCCCTTGTTCGCAAAAGCACGAAGCCCCTCTCCACCCCATCCGACGCCGGGCCGTGCCGAACACAGGCTCTCACTGTACAGCCGCCTCGATGGCGCTGCACAACACAAAGGGGGCCACTTGCACGGCAGTGGCGCACCAGCTACCGGGCGACATACAGAAGCAGCCGGCGTCATTAATAGCGGTGCCATCGCAACCGCCACCGGTCTCAAGCAGAGCCCACACGATGCTGGGTGTCTAGCTGTGGCTCCCCTTATTCATACGTCGAGTGACAATGCACAGGGCACCTCGTACAGAATGGTCATAACTGTATTATAATCCAGCTGGGTAGTGTGGGGGTCAGACGGCGAGGCCCAACAATCATAAGTTTGTAATTTATAATTCGAGTCAGTGGAACAACCGAGCACTGCGAGCTTGATAAAAAGAGCATCACTTATCGCAGCTGTCCTACACCTAGACTCACACCTGTCATACCACAGGCTCTGGGCTGTGAACAGCAGGTGATCAGTGAACCCATGCTCTTTAAAATCAGTGTAACATTTGATTTTTTATGTAAAAGCATTCACATGTCGGTACTTATACAAGGCAAGGCACTACTGGAATGTGTTGCTAACGGAGGTCCATGGCATCTTGCAGCAGAAGCCAAACGCCCAGCTCAGCACATGCCTCAGCGGGTGCCTTATATAGAGAGTGCACTTCACCAAAACGCATCTTCCCAGTGCCGCTGCACTGGAACCAGTGGCCGGTCCCACAGGCCAGATATTGACAAGGCGGTACAGCGTCGAGCGTCGTTACATTGTAGCAATGCCAGGTGACGGCTTCCTGTGCCATGTGAGATTGACTCAACGATCGCATCCCCAGGTGATGTTCGAAAAAAAAACACGGTGAGATGTAAAACATCTTAATGCAAGATTCTCAGAAGTATGAGTCTTGAGACTCAGTGAGGCTCTTCTCGGTCAATGATTGATGCTATAAAGAGATATGATGATGGAATGGCAGCCGTGTCCAACGAAACATCCACCGTGGAAATGGACAAATGAAATCAGCTCTCGTTTGCAAGCAGTAGGTGGATTTTTACACTACAGGACCATGAGAGATGCCAAAAGCTTGCGGGAGTCCTTCATCAAGCAGTGGACTGATCGTGGCTGATGATGAATTCGACAATAGCTTCAAGTGAAAAACACCCACAGGAGATTCCAGGTCATGTCTACAGCTCTGAGCCAGTGGTTGAAATCCCACATTACTCTGGGAAAGTGAGTCAATCTGAAGGGCACGATTGACTGAGCCCCAACGGGATGAGCAAGTCGACACTCGCCGGGACTTAATCTAACTTCTGAAAGACAAGCGCTCCACCGCCGTGCCACCAGACCACATTTGAAGTAAAAAGTGATATCTTATCCAGCAAAAGCTAAGCGACTCGCACCACTGATCAATCATCACATTGAGAAATGTTTACTCTTGGCGGATCAGCACAGGTGTTTGCGACACAAAGCAATGGCAGACTTCGCAACGCTCCAAAATATCGAGTTCCTGTTGCCGTCTTGTTGCTAGGTGCTCACACGAGCAGATAAAACGCACAGCCGACGTGGTAGTGGCGATTGCCTTAAGAGTTAAAAATGCCGTGTTGCCCCAGCCAAGGCTTTGACAATGGTGGGGGTCAAAGGATGAACCGGAACCTGACAAAACTGGGACCGAGAGAGGGAAAACTAAAATAGAGTTGACCAGAATCAGAGTTGACACAGTAAAAAACTGGACACACAGAGGGACTGCAGTTCACACTGAGGCAGAGTTCACACAGACATAAGAGGACACACAGAGACAAGAATGGACACAGAGACAAGAGTGGTCACAGAGACAAGAGTGGTCAGAGAAAAGAGTGGACACAAAGCGTAGACCAAAAATAAATACATGACATCTAGGGAGGCAGAGTTGACACCGGTCTCTCTGGATCAGTGTCACATTGGTGCAATCCCCATGATCAGTCCTCCGCACTGCCTCATCCTAGGATTCCCATGACAGGGCAGTGTGCGGTGGGTTCAGGGTACCGGGGTCCACCATGGCTTATGGACCCCATTCAAACTAAACTACTCGTCCCAGGGACAAAATTGGCTGTACGCTCACACACACACTCTCTCACACATACATACAGGCGCTAATTATACCCGGGCACATCATAGGCGTTTGGGGCAGGGTGGGGTTGGGGATGAGGCAGTGGCAGAGGCGGCAGCCACAGCACAGCACAGCAAAGGCTGCAGGGTTTGGCAAGGTACACGTGAGATACAAGTGTCCACTCTGCTAGCTACAGCAATCCACCCGACCAGTTCTCCCTTGTGAGAGAGACATAGGCCTCAAAGAGGGGGTGCAGCCGTGGCACGACGGTTCATGTAGTGCGGAACCAAACTGGCGAACTGCACTCGATTCCAGGCCACGTCTGACGGCCCTGGGGCGCTCCACATTCGCCAACACGTAACGACCAGGGTGGTGAAGTACGATCGAGCCCCCCCCCCCCCACCACCATGAGCAAAATGGGCTGGTGAGGCATTCACCCAGCAATAGATTGACAAAGGGCTGTATATAGCCTCAATGGGATCTCACAAGGTTATAAATAAACACTTACACACTCATTGACCGACTGCGGCCCCCTGAGATTGCGGTGTCCCACGGGCTCTCCCAGCCGCCGAAGGTGATGGTGGGAAGTGGAGTGAGAGGTTCCCGATCGAGGGGTGTTATAGGGTGACCCTCGGGGATGGAGGCCAGGGGAGACGTCAGTCTGGGAGTATGGGGGGGGGAGCTCCGGGGAGATGCCAGACAAGAGAGATTAGGGGATGCGGTTTTAATGTACCTAGGAACACAGGGACCTGAATTGAGAAAAGACACGAGGAGAGAGGGGGACAAGTGGAGACAGCTGACATAGCGAGAAGAGACCCTGGGTAAAGAGGGGACCCGTGTCCGTACGTACTTCTTGTTCTGCTGCTGCTGGGTCTTGGCTCCACGCTTGCCCCTGGAGCGCTTCTTGCGTGCCTGGATGGACAACACTGCCAAACGAGAGAAACGTCATCGGTGGTTATATGAAGAGGCTTACGGTGATGATGGTGGTGCTGCTGTTGGCAGTGTTCTGCTGCTAATGATGATGCTGTAGATGATGATAATTGTGCTGATGGTCTTGCTGATGATGAATGTGCTGCTGCTGATTTTGCTAACGCTACTGCTGTTGTTTGCTGCCACTGATAATGATTGTGCTGCATCTCAAAGGTTTTGCTGTTGTTGGCTCTGCTGCTGCTGCCTGCTGATGGTATTGCTGCTGCTGATGGTATTGCTGCTGCTACTGCTGATGGTATTGCTGCTGCCACTGCTGATTGCTTTGCTGCTGCCTGTTGATAGCTCTGCTGCTGCTACTACTGAAGGCTCTGCTGCTGCCTGCTGATGGTATTGCTGTTGCTACTGCTGACGGCTCTGCTGTTGCTACTGCTGATGCTACCTGCTGATGGTATTGCTACTGCTGATGGTGCTGCTGCCGCTGCTGATTGCTTTGCTGCTGCTGCCTGTTGATAGCTGTGCTGCTGCTACTGCTGATGGTATTGCTGCTGCTACTGCTGATGGTATTGCTGCTGCTACTGCTGATGGTATTGCTGCTGCTGATAGTATTGCTGCTGCTACTGCTGATGGCTCTGCTGCTGCCTGCTGATGGCTCTGCTGATGCTACCTGCTGATGGTATTGCTACTGCTGATGGTATTGCTGCTGCTACTGCTGATGGCTCTGCTGCTGCCTGCTGATGGTATTGCTGCTGCTGCTACTGTTGATGGCTCTGCTGCTGATGGCTCTGCTGATGCTGCCTGCTGATGGTATTGCTGCTGCTGCTACTGCTGATGGCTCTGCTACTGCTACCTGCTGATGGCTCTGCTGATGCTACCTGCTGATGGTATTGCTGCTGCTGCTACTGCTGATGGCTCTGCTGATGCTGCCTGCTGATGGTATTGCTGCTGCTGCTGATGGTATTGCTGCTGCTGCTACTGCTGATGGCTCTGCTGCTGCCTGCTGCTGGTATTGCTGCTGCTGCTACTGCTGATGGCTCTGCTGCTGCTGCCTTCTGCTGGTATTGCTGCTGCTGCTACAGCTGATGGTGCTGATCCGTCGTCTGGGCGGAGAGCACTGGCACGTGGCCCACGGGGCCCTGGGCGGCACGCCACACGCACTGACGGTTATGGCGCGGTATTGTACAACAACCACCCACGATCACCAGCGATGAAGGTGACGGGGGAACAGTGTTGTCAAGCAAGCCACGGAGTTTAATGTGGCAACAGCAGCAACAACAACACCGCTACCTCTAATGATGATGTGGTTGACATTGCTAATGATGTTACCGATGTTTGTCATGTAATTGATGATGTTGACGTATGAGTTGGCGAGTTAATGATGGAATTAGCGATGTTATTGCTGTTGTTGGCGACGTTAACGATGTCCGTGATGATGCTGGTACAGTACTATTAGTGCCGATGCAGTTGACGTTAATAACTGTGATGTCAGAGACGTCAGTGGTAGATAATAATTCGTGATGTGAGCAGTGGTGATGTTCGTGATGATGCGAATATTGGTGATGATGCATGCTACGAGTGATAACGACGATGTGAGAAGTGATGAGGCTGAGAGCCGTGACGACCGTGCGAGTAGTAGTCGTAGCGATGAAGTAAGTGGCGATGAGGCGAGTGGTGATGATGGTGATGATGATGGTGATGATGATGGTGACAACGTGGGCCCTCTTCGTCTCTACCCGCACCTTTTCTGGAACTCATCTCGGCGGTTGGCGCCGGGCGCATGCGCAGTGCAGACGTCGGCGGTGTTGGTGGCGGCCTCGCGGACTGGCTCGGGCAACCTCCGCGCGTGTGGCCCTCGGCGTCTCCGCTTCACATCCCCTGCTGCTGCTGCTTCTTCTTCCTCTCGCTTCTCGCACTCGTCTGCCGTGGCGGGCTTCCCCCACCAACCCCAACCCCCCCACCGCTACCACCGCTACCACCACCCAAGGGAGACGCGGGACCTCGGCGTGGCTCCGTCGCCGCCGCCGCCACCACCACCGAACGTTGCCGCCGTTGCCAAGCGAAGCCGCGTGACGTCACGGAGACGCGTTAAACGCGGTGACGTCAGACCCGCCAGTTATACGTGGTGACGTCACGCGCGAGCCCGGGAGAGGACGCGCGCGCGCGCGCGACCGCGCTTCTGGCGGGAAACCCCCCCACCCCACACACTTCCCCCCCCACACACATTTCTTCTACCCCCCCACACTTCTCCCCCCCCCCCACACTTCTCCTCCCCCCATACACTTCTCCCCCCCCACACACTTCCCCCCACACACATTTCTCCCCCCCCCATACACATTTCTTCTCCCCCGCCACACTTCTCCACTCCCCACACACTTCCCCCCACACACATTTCTCCCCCCCCCCCACACACTTCCCCCCACACACATTTCTCCCCCACACAATTCTCCCCCACCCCCCACACAATTATCCCCCCCCCCACAATTATCCCCCCCCCCCCCACAATTATCCCCCCCCACAATTCTCCCCCACCCCCCACACAATTATCCCCCCCCCCCCCACAATTATCCCCCCCCCCCCACAATTATCCCCCCCCCCACAATTATCCCCCCCCACAATTCTCCCCCACCCCGCCCCACAATCTCCCCCACCGCGCCACACTACCCTGGTGGAGTGACGTCACGCGACGAGACTGTGCGAGTTTGAGTGACGTCACGAGCTTATAAACCTTGTGTTGTGATTGCGTCACGTGCGTGAAGCTGTGCGCGCGCGATGACATCATCGCGCTCCGGACGCGTGGTGGCGTCATCGCGTCGCTTAACGCACGTGGGTGCTGCTTGTTACAATGAGTTGCGTGGATCTATTACGTAATCTGTCGATGGCGAATGTTGATGTTGATTCGTAGAACTGGGATTCTACATTGAGGCGTTTCAGCCAGGAGTAGCCTCCATTTAGATCGTTGTGTCAATCTATAGATGCGTCTTCTTCTTTGCATAGCTAATGTTGATGTGGAGCAGCAGATGTGTCATTTTTCAAGAGCAGCGGAGTGCAGCATCTCTGTGGTGATTATGATGATGGCGCCTCCTCCTCCTACGTGATAATAGGGTTTCCCCTTTTTTCTGGCAACAAAACAGGTGTAAAGATCTTCTTGAATTCAGACTCTGTCTACTTGACAGACCTGTTCTCCACTTGAGGACGGCTGCTTGCGTTGTGGCGAAACGTCGTGAGAATTATTTTATTATGTTTTATTTGTATTATTTTCCTTCTATGTGACTTTACCGAAAGAACCAAGAAGATGAATCCCTGCAGTCACGAAAGCTTTAAATCGAAATTTAGGTGTTAAGATGTTAAAACACCAAAGGGGCCGTCCATAAATGACGTCAGGCACCTAGGGGGGGGGGGGGTCAGACATTTGTGACGATGTATGACGAGGGGGGAGGGGTTTGTGAAATGTTACGTCACATCAAAATGCGCAACTTTAAATAAATACAGACAACACGTTCTGCTTAATTAAATACTTTTTAATAAATGTCTTCTACAACATCAGAGTGCAGCGCCACATTAAATACGCACTACAATGACAATAGTATAAAGCGATTTGAAGCATGTTTTTTTTTTGGGGGGGGGGGGGTCAGAGCTTTGTGACGTCATATTTGAGGGGGGGTCTGACTTTTTGTGACGCCGTGTGACGAAGGGAGGGGGGGTCAAAAATCGTCCAAAATCGCGTGACGTCATTTATGGACGGCCCCAAGCTGAAAACTTTGACAAGGAATCATGTCTGCATTAACCACAATACTTGTGGTCAGAATGCAAATAAAAACATACTCTGATAATATATGCATTGTCTTTGAAACTGATTGGTCCACACCAGAGACAGCTTTCTTTTGAGCCTCGTCTCAAACGGTGTTCGACCAGAGGACGCCAAAAGGCGCACTCCTCCGTGTTTATGAATCGAGCACCGAGTCTGCGTCCCCTGGTTCCGTTCTGGGCGATGACCAGATTCACCGTGTACTGCCCGGAGAGTTTGTAATCTCCCATTTGTGCATCATCACCATCATCACCATCAAGGATCCGCATCTCTTGCTTCTGCCGCCATGGTTACAGGTCGTGACCCTTCAGCTTCGCGGAAGATCGAAGCCAGAGAGGTTATGTGTCGGAGTCTTTCACGAGGAGATTTTCGTGACCTCTGATTGTGAACTCCAAAGTCCCGGTCATCGCAGCGTGCCGCTGGCTATCAACAAAGCTCGTTGTGAGCTCCTTCACCAAACTGGTTAGGGGCCGTCCATAAATGACGTCACGCACCTAGGGGAGGGGGGTCAGACATTTGTGACGATGTCTGACTAGGGGGGGGGGGGGTTGAGAAATGTGACGTCACATCAAAATGCGCAACTTTAAAGAAATATAGAATTGTTATAACAACATTAATTGTTATATAACACTCCTACAACATCAGAGTGCAGCGCCACATTAAATACGCACTACAATGACAATAGTTTAAAGCGATTTGAAGCATGTTTTATTTTCAAAATGGAAATATGGTTTTGGTGGGGGGGGGAGGCAGAGCTTTGTGACGTCATATTTAAGGGGCGGTCTGACTTTTTGTGACGCCGTGTGAAGAGGGGGGGGGGGTCAAAAATCATCCAAAATCGCGTGACGTCATTTATGGACGGCCCCTTACGCGGTACTCAGCCCCAGAGTACGCAAGTGGCACGCGTGGTATGCCGCTCGCAGGGTGTTCGCGTCACAACCCCAGCTTGGTACCGGTCAGCTCGTGCGCGATGTTCACCCCGGGACTTGCGTTTAGAGCTTCACCGCTTTGAGGAGATGATGGTGGTGGGAGAGGGAGAGAAGGCGAGGCTTCTTGTTCATCGTTACAACCGAGCGACTGTGGGTTGACGGCTTCGTGGGCGATCCTCTTGCCAAACAAATGTACGTGCGGTGGTCCTCGATCTTTGTCTGCTTCTCTCCCCGTCCTATGAAGGGTGCGAATCTTCCCCTGCGACCAGAACTCCATCTCCTCCGATTGGCCCCCACCGTTCTCCCGGTAACCACGCAGTAAAAAATGAGCCAATAATAGCCCAGAGTCTTCTTGGTTCTTTCGGTAAAGTCACGTAGAAGGGAAAAAAAAATAGAAATAAAACATAATATAATAATATAATACAATATTTTGTATTATAGATGTTATTTTTATTATTTCCCTTCTACGTGACTTTACCGAAAGAACCAAGAAGATGAATCCCTGCAGTCACGAAAGCTTTAAATCGAAAAATAGCCCAAAGCTTTTTATTTTCATTAGTGACTGGCTTACCTTTTATATTCTTTACACTAATATCGTAGTGTTTTTGTATTGTTTGCTGTTGTAACTGTCTGACCCGCCCCTACTGGACATCTGTAAAAATTATCTTTATAGCTCACCGCTTTCCTCCAGTATAAATACCGATTCTGAACTCACCACTCAGCTGATTCACCATTTAGCTGACACTACTCACCTGACGCTCACGACTCACCTAATACTGCTCAGCTGACACTACCCACTCCCCTGACCCTCACCACTCAGCTGACACGACTCCCCTGACCCTCACCACTCAGCTGACACTACTCACCTATCTCTCACCACTCAGCTGACACTACCCACTCACCTGACTCTCACCACTCAGCTTACATTACTCCCCAGACCCTCACCACTCAGCTGACACTACTCACCTACCTCTCACCACTCAGCTGACACTACCCACTCACCTGACCCTCACCACTCAGCTGACACTACTCACCTATCTCTCACCACTCAGCTGACACTACTCACCTATCTCTCACCACTCAGCTGACACTACCCACTCACCTGCCTCTCACCACTCAGCTTACATTACTCCCCAGACCCTCACCACTCAGCTGACACTACTCACTCACCTACCTCTCACCACTCAGCTTACACAACTCCCCTATCTCACCACTCAGCTGACACTACCCACTCACCTGACTCTCACCACTCAGCTGACACCACTCACTCACTTACCACTCACCACTCACTCACCTACCTCTCACCACTCAGCTGACACTACTCACCTACCTCTCACCACTCAGCTGACACTACTCATCAGACCCTAACCTAATGAGGCTCATGCGTTTAACTTACCTGTGACTATTGTATCCAGTGCGTGAAGCCCCCCCCCTCCCCGCCCCCTGTGTGGAGCGAAACGTCGGACATCGGCGTCACACAACACCACGTAACTTAGTTGTCCAACCCGACAACACGTGGGCGAGGTGGGGAGAGAGCCATGCGTGAGCCTGGCCACCGGATGAGGGTGAGAGTGTGGCGACGTGGCCATGGCTACCCATACGCTGCCTGGCCCTGCAATTCCGATTTAAATGTCGCCACACACAGCGGTGCAGATCTCAAGACCCTGCACAGGCCAATGGCACGTGTGCATCCAGGGGGAAATGAAAGAGGAGGCGTCTTTGTTATGGGGGAGGAGGAAGCAGGAGGGTCTTAAGAGTCAGAATCTTTATTTAGACTGGAGTAATCAGGTCTGTCAAGGTCGGCGACCTAGGAAATGCACGCCACTCGGCACACCACATCCCGTATACTTCTCGTTACAGATGCTATGAGTCGTGTGCCACCTACGACTGTAGGAAGTCTACCAGCGACTCGCACACTGTTCAGTGAGACATTCAACTCTTGACTGCCATGGGCCGAAGATGAGAGCAGGTTCTTGGAGCAAGGGGCTTGAGCAGGGGGTAAGGAGACGACAGCGCGGGTTACTGGGGGAATTGTGTGAATGGAAAGAATGCTCAGAACGCACTCGCTGAACACGTGTTCAGCGAGTGCAGAATGCAGCTGCCCGGATGACTCGGCGGGTTCGCCGTTGTGAACACATCACGCACTGCAGCATGCACTGGCTACACCGGTCCGCTTCCGCATACAATTCGAGGTTGCTCTTCTCACCTACAAAGTACTGCAACGACTTGGGCCCCCGATCTACTTGCAAAACGACAACTCCATCCAATCCTCAGGCACATTCGGTACACTCCGTTCCACGGGAACGGAAAGGCTTTCCCAGCCCAGGATTGTTCATCTGACTCTTGGGAGACAAAGCCTTCGCGAACGCTGCCCCCCTAAAAAATCTGGAATACCACCCGGCCTGGCCACCGGACATCCGAAACGCGCAGCGTGTCTCTCAATTCTAGATTTGAAGCTTTCGTGACTTCAAGGATTCACTCTTTTTTTCGGTAAAGTCACGTAGGTAAAAAATAGAATGAAAACAACTAAATTAAATCACGACGTCTCGGAGGCAACACAAGCTTCCGTCTTCAGGTGGAACCGTTATAATTGTCTCTCAATTATCAAAATATTTGTTTATACCGGAGGAATTCGATGAGCTATGAAGCGCTTTTTTAAAACAGATGCCCAGTAGGGGGCGAATCGTAACGTTACAACTACAAACACAATGTTATAGGTTTTTTTTGGGGGGGGGGGGGGGTTACATCGCGTAAATATAAATGCGTCGGTAAACCCGCTACCACCCGACACTGACAATTAGTGAAGGTTCGTCACGTAAACAGGACGTGCCAATTCGTTACTAGTACAGCACTAGCCGGTGTGTTGGAGAGCATTTACAATCTGAGTACGACGTTTCGCCAGTAACTACAACTATCTTCATCATCCTTCTGTTTCGTTCGTTAAACAGAGGGGTAGATGTGATGACATCACTTGTGAGCTCTTCACGTGGGAAAGGGGCAGGGTGGGTTAATTAATGCACATAAATTACAACGGATATCCATTCGGTTATTCATATGGTAATCGGCGTACTTTATGCATGCACATTGTTCTTGCTATTGTATACGCACAGGTAATCCCCATTGACGTATGGAAACGTGTAGAGGCATGCATTTAAACCATGTATTATTTGATTATTTGCTTCCAAGCAGCACGAAGCCTGTAGCTATCCGAATGTTTTAAAAAAATTCTCAACCAAACAGGATTTCTCCACAAATCTGGCTCTCCGCCTGATGAAGCTAGTTGTAATTACTGGAGAAACATCGTACTCAGATTGTAAACGTTGTGACTTGGCTCTCCAACACACCGGTGTGCTGTACTAGTGACGAATTGGCGTGTTCTGTTTACGTGACAAACCTTACTAATTGGCTGTGTCCGGTGGTGGCGGGTTTAACGACACATTTATATTTACGCGATCGAACCCCCCAAAAAAACGATATTATGGATATTGGTCGCGAAAGCCTAAGCGTTAAACAAACACAATGGTCTGTGCCAGCCATCTTTTCAGACTTGCCTTCCCATAAAATATAAAATACTTATTTTATTTACTAATCACCTTTCGTATGCTGATTCGTTGCGCACGGTCGCACTTTTATTTTTCACGCACTTGTGTTAGCCGCTGAGGTCGTGACGAATATTCTTTTCTCATCCTTGTTGCTTCGTGGTAACCTAGAAGCCTCACCGTTCCGTTGTAATGCGCACGGATGCCAACTTGAGGACCCATCACGGCACGTACAATAGAGATTGATTGACGTGTGAGAAACTCCTAGTGACAAAATGCGAGCGCGAGAAACGTGGAGTGGTTGTCCTAACCAAACCCGGCCACCAGAGGTCGTTGCGATCCACAACTTGGTAGAATACAAAGATATCGTTCGTGACAATAGAGCAGTTGGTTTTCAACCTTTTGTTGGCTACTGTGTTACCCCCCCCCCCCCCCCCCCCCCGTTGAATTTTGTTTTAACAGAGTACCCCCTTGGCTGATCCAAACCGCTTTTGAGAAATAAATTTATGAATAACGAACATCAATATTTTAACCAATTGTACATGTTTTGAGGCATCCTAACAAGCTGGTAATTGCAAGTAAATAAAACAAATCAACGGAGGTTTAGAAATGTATTTTATATCGTTCTAGGATTGTATAAATACAGGCGATACGACTATCTTGGTCACATTGTGGCCCAAGCCTTGTAACACTTGGGATGCTCAGGCGGTCCCGTCTAGCATCGTGTATCGTCATATTACAGTGGTGGAAATGGGCAGGGGATTACCCCGGAATGCCGTGGTGGGAGTAACATTTTGAACCCAACTGCGTTACGAAAAGAATCAAGGATTAATGTTTTTTTTGTAATTTGACTCATAGACCCCTAGACCAACAGAGATACCCACAAACACGCTCAGAAATCCACAGACACGCTCAGAAACTCACCAACACCCATAAGACCCACAGAAACCCACAGACACGCACAGAGACCCACACACCGAGCGAAACTCCTCACCCCCCTCCCACTTAGGAGATCTATAATGTACGGTCCAGATGTAGTGGCGGGTGAGGGGGAACCATTTAGGAGTTTCCCCAGTAATTTATTTCCATCTCCAGCCCTGGTACCATGTGATTGAACGCATTCAGGATTCAGCAAACCAGCCACGACTCCACTCCTCGCATCGGATTGAGCGGTGACGCGCCACTCAACTCGACCGCTTGTGGCAGAGAAACACGCTGCACACTGCATTTAGCCACAAAAAGATTCACTCATGAGCGTTTAATGGAACAAAATCAAAGTTTCCGAAATTGAGTTTGCTCTAGTATCAATCTTAATTTGGAGCTTTCGTGACTGTAGTATTCAGATTGTGTTAGTGTATCTTCGACAATATTTTGCCTGGAGTCTCAACGGGCTCTCTCACCTTTCCTGAATGCCTCGCTGAGGCCGTGTGAACGCACACGCCACATGGGATCTTTGTCTCAGTGTGCTATCATGCGTGTCGTGTAAATAACGTGTTGTTGCTCTGGTTAGTTTGCACATTCCCTCCACCCTGCAGCGTCTGGTACAACCGCCGCCACTGCCGATGGTCTTTGGCTGTGGCCTCTGTACCTCTATGGGTCTCTAGGTAATTCTTTGAATGGCTATGTAACTCTATGGGTCTCTATGGAACCATGTGGGTATCTATGTAATGATATGGGTCTTTAACTCCATGGGTCTCTGTGTAACTGCATGGGTCTCTATGTAAATCTTACGTAACTGTAATGTCATATAACTGCCACCAGTGCCGATGGTCTTGGGCTGTGGTCGTTTTTGTAACAGAGCTGCTTAATTCCACGTGGTCTCACCAGCTGCAATAATAAAGCCTAGGGGGGTCTGATATCAGTGCAACGACACCAAAGCAAGAACATTTTAGTGGGACAAACACAACACGGTTGTGCAACCAGATGACGGCCAAGTACGCTACGTTGATATAAGCCGGTCACAACGTGGGACGCAGAGCCACAATCGTTATACTCACACGGTCACCGCGCGCGCACACACACCGACTCCACAACGGCAGAATAATCCAAGCGACATCACAGCTGGTGTCTAGTTTTAAGGCATTCATTCTCTCTCAAAACAACAACAACCACCATCCTGCGCGCTGTAAAATGTAGACTTAAAATTAACAAAATAAAAAGGTACAAATCGGTTTTTGGGAAAACGATCAAGCGAAGGTCAACGTGGTCAACGGGTCGTGCCGGTCCCACACCGAGACGAGGCCTCTTGGCCACGCCGGGTCCACGGCAGGGGACGTGATCACGTTGTTCCACTCTCAAGGCGGCGCGGGAACGGCCGCAGCGAGCGTCGCACGTTTCTCCCAAAAATATAACATCGTCGTGTGTCAATTTGCAACAACAAAAAACCCACAGCCACCGCTTGGAAATGTGCACGGTTACAAACGAGGGCCTTGCGATCGGTCGACTGCGGAGAGTTTGCCGCCAGCTTAGTGTCCCACCTGGCTGGCCACGTTCCCGATATTCCTGAGGATTCGGCAGACAAATTCTGGATGGTATCGATCGACTCCCACAAGTGATTTCTATGGAATCCTACCGATCCTAAAGTCCATCACACGTTTAAATTATTCCTTAAGCTTCAGGTTGCCACTTGCCCTGGTCTTCCCAGGACCATACTGTTGAGGTAGTCATCCTGGGAAAACCGTAAGTCATCCTGGAGACATTTAAAGTCTCTGTGGTGTCATTTGCGCAGTAATATGCCACACAAGACAATTAATTTACAATCGGTTCTCCCGCTTCTGTAGCATTTTGAGATATTGTTCTACCCAAGATATGCCCCATTTTTTAATATTTCACAAGTGGAAACCTGACTCCGAACCCCGCATAATATCCTCAGGCCTTTGGGTTCTGCCTCGGGGCCGTTGACCCGCATAAATGTGCCCCCGATGAGCAGTGACATCGCCATGGCCTGCGAGGGATTGTTAACGGGTTTCTGTCCTCGACGGCAACAAATGAGACGCGAACAAAACGCCGCGGGGCAACCCCGGATACGATCATCACGCGGCGCGAGCACAAACGCCGCTGCGGCCAAGGTGCGAACCGCGAGGCCCAGGGCCGGCCTTCGTGCCGTTCTGGTCCGGGAGGCACAGTCGCGTGAACAGGCTCAACCGGTTTCCGTCAGACAAACGCAAATGGGGGGGGGGGGGGGGGATTGGAATATGACCTCAATCAATACGTAAAACGAGGGCGCGGTGGGATGTATTATTGTCACATAATAGGAAGGTGGGTTTCGCGTACTTTATTTTTAACGGCCGTGTAAAGGGGTCATATTTTCAGCTTCACGTACATGAGCCAGGAATATTTCAAAACGAGAACTGGAGCACGACCACGATGCTCGTGAATTGCCACAGGACCACGCCGCTGAGTGCGCTTTGGCACCGCTGACCCCTCCAACGGCAACACAGTCCAAGCCCAGCTGACCCTGATCCACGCCACGGCGTCAGGGGTCACACGTATGGGGAGGAATGGCTAAGCTTTGACCGGGTTACAACTTACAGCAAAACAGGCTTTTTTTATCCCAGTGTGCATACAAAGGATCATTATATACATACAGCACAACATGCGCGCATCCACTTAGGCCGCGTCATAACGGTACTCCCCCCTTCTCTACAGTAGATGATTTAAAACACGTACAGCTTTAAAATAAATAATGTTAAAATCATGGATTATTATCATTATTATTGCCAAACGAGAAAAGAACTTAGTTTGTGAATACAGCCGCCCGGTTTTGATTAAAGTGATTTTTTTTTCCGCGCGCAGACTACGAGGTTAGGGGGTGGCGGTGCCTTACCCTGGTGCGCCCACAATCGACCTGAAGACTCCTTCTCTCGGGTTTGCAAGTTCTCTCTTCCTTCTACAGTAGACGACGCTTTTCTTCAGCAACGCGGGGCTTCAGTTAGTGGTGATTAAAGAACACTCAAACCGGCGGGCGAGGAGCGAGAAAAGCCCCACTTACAAAAAAAAGTCTCTACGTCTTTAAACGGTTTTGAGAGGTGGAGCCCTTGTTGACTACTTTCCGACAGAGGTTGCAAGTAAGGCGATCTCCCCCGGAGCCAACCATCTCCCAAAACCACAACAACATTTCCTATTTTCTTTGCAGCAGTTTACAAAAACAACCGTTTTAAAAACTCGCTCGTTCTTCCGTTAAAACATCAAGGCCGGGGGGGGGGGGGGGGGAGAATGGCGGAAGCTCCGAGCAAGGTGTCGTGGTCATCGCTATCGTCGTCGTGGCAGCGCGACGCACGTACGCGCATAGTCCCTCGCCGCAGCTCCTGGCGTGCGCCGCCGCCACCAACCACCCAGCCAATCGCAGCAGGCCCGGCTCCTGCAACCTCTTCGTGATGGGTTTTTTTTTATTAAAATGTATTTGGTCGCTCGCACGGCGGCCTTGTGCAGCTGGGTGGGGAGGTTAAAAGGGTCGACGAGCGCGCCGAGTCATCTCGTGATCGCGGGCGCCGCTGCGAAGAGACCACCGTGTTGCGCCGCGCCACGGGGGACGAGGAGGCGGCACGAGTGGGAAGCACTTCATCGGTGGGTCCGGGTGGGCGGGTGGGGGGGCGGAGGTCGACAAAGAATGGCGCCGAGGAGAGAAGGCAGCTGCACCTCATCCATCTCTTGAGCGGCTTGCCGAATTGACGAAAAACGATTTCACTCGAGGCATCCGATTTCAAACGAGAAAATTGTTGCGGCACGCGCACGCTACCCAAGCGGCCTTCGCGGCTTTGGCGATCTTGCCCGGCGCTCCCACGGGCAGAACCTTCCACCAACGTGTCCACCGCGCAGGGGTAGGGCCCCCCCTACCCCCTCCGCTCAGGCAGCGCCAAGGGGCACGGGCCGGACGACACGCGGTCGTCGCCCCGTCACAGGTCGGTGACCTTGTTCTCTACCGCCGCCGCCACCTGCTGCAGCCGGTACGCCAGCTGCATCTTCTGGGTGTGCGGGTCGTCCTCCAGCGCGGTGATCACCTGCGCACGCGAGCATGCAGACGCACGTCCTGGCGGTCAAGCGCCAGCTGCACGGGTTGGGGGGGGGAACTCTTTTCTCCTCCTTACCAGTGCCGAATTGGGTTTTAAATACCTTTGGTGGAGTGCCACAGATTTAACTATTTAACGCACACCTGTCAGGGCTGTCCAATAATGCCACTCAAATTAGTGCTCAAATTTACAAGTGTCTGCATTCAAATCAGAAACAGTGTTGTTGCCAGGTTAAACACACTCCCCCTCCTCAAGCACCCAATTGGTGTGGCTAAGAAGCTTGCAGTGATGGTTAAATGTCAATTTCGGGCAGTTTTGCAGAGGAAGGTAGACCTCACATGGCCACGAGGCCATGTATGTATGTATGTTAAACTTCTTTCGCACCGTACGTAGCCAACCGTGCTAATCAGGGAGTTGCGCGCGTTACAATAACTGGGCAGCGAAGCCGTAGGCTGCGGTCGGGAAGGAGCCAGAAGTTGATCGTTACTTGCACCTCAGATTCGGTGCACACTTCACTCATGTCACGTGCCGTCATGTTCACGGTCAATTTGTCGCCATTTTGGTTTTGAGTGCCACCACTGCCCACGAAGCGTGACCGTTGGAGCTGCCCGACAGACGGGCGTCCACGTTGCGCAAGGCCAACCATCGCGGCGGTCAGAAGGTGGAGCGAGCGAGTCAACTCGATGCTACGTGGCGATCGAGCGGGTCAAACGCTCGTCTGCTGGCTGGCATCCCAGCCCGGGAGCGTGGTGGTGTGGTGGTGTGGGGGGGGAACTCGCCTGGTCGTAGTACTTGTTGACGTATGTGTAGAGCTCGTGAAGCGCCACCATCGAGTTGAGTTCGTTTGAGTTGTTCTGGGGATGCAGCAGATCCGCGCGTTACGCACGCACGTATGCACACACACAAACGTACACAAGTGGTCTGCACACACACACACGCAAGTGGTCCATACAAATATAAAGATCCCCCGTATAGCCTTAACAGACTGTTGGGACAAGTACTGTTAGCAAGCAGCTATGAAGGCCGGCACAGTACACGAGGGGATGGGTTGCCAACAACGCACTCTGCCGACATTGTCTCCCCAGTGCTGATGTTTTACACACCGCACCAGGTACTGATTTGAGGCCGAGTCGACCTAGAGGAGGGCCAGAACTACTTCAGATAATCGTCACTGATGTTGGGCGCGAGCGGGAATTGATCTCGGGTCGCCAGGTTTGTAGTGCAGCGCGGTGAGCACTGCACTACCGCTCCACTCACCCGTGACTCCTCGGAGAGTTCCGTTCTCATGTCCTCATCCCGGACCGGTACCATCTGGCGGATGTCTGCGTAATACCTGGAGTGGAGACACACGCACATACACAGGCACGCACGCACGCGAGTGCACACACGGGTATATTTAGAAGTGAATTACTGATTCCGTTCATGGTTGTCTCAATCATAGTATGCCTCTTCAAACTAAACACAATGATGAGGAAAATGTATCAATAAATAGTTCAAGGTTGTTTGAGTATATATGTTCTCTTGTAAGGAACTTGGCACTACAGGCATGAGTCTAAATTAACTTGAGAGCTACGTGACAACGAGAATCCTGGGTGGCCATTAAACCGTGAAGTTGCGCTACACCAGGCGTGGAACCCGAGGCCAAATGCACACAAACCATCTCTCCAAAAAAGTAGATTGATGACCATGCTGTGGAAGTTTAATTCAAATTGCGAGGTCCCCCTTGGAAAGGTCTCCCGCACCTCCGACTAGCACGGTTGGCTACGTAAGATGTGAAAGAAGTTCAACATGCATACATATGTCGTCTCAAATAATGTTTAGAGAACATCTCCCTCATGTGAAAGATACGATGAGCATTACAAGTATCAATGCTCAGAACGACTAGAAATGGCCAGAAGAAGACCAAAGGAGATCCAAAGCTCGAGAGCACCCAGAGAGTGAGAGAGCATCCAGACAGCCAGAGAGTGAGAGAGCGTCCACACAGCCAGAGATTGAGAGAGCATCCAGACAGCCAGAGAGTGAGAGAGCATCCAGACAGCCAGAGAGTGAGAGAGCGTCCACACAGCCAGAGAGTGAGAGAGCACACAGACAGCCAGAGAGTGAGAGAGCGTCCACACAGCCAGAGAGTGAGAGAGCGTCCACACAGCCAGAGAGTGAGAGAGCGTCCACACAGCCAGAGAGTGAGAGAGCGTCCACACAGCCAGAGATTGAGAGAGCGTCCAGACAGCCAGAGAGTGAGAGAGCGTCCACACACCCAGAGATTGAGAGAGCGTCCACACAGCCAGAGAGTGAGAGAGCGCACAGACAGCCAGAGATTGAAAGAGCGTCCAGACAGCCAGAGAGTGAGAGAGCGTCCAGACAGCCAGAGAGTGAGAGAGCGTCCAGACAGCCAGAGATTGAAAGAGCGTCCAGACAGCCAGAGAGTGAGAGAGCGTCCACACAGCCAGAGATTGAGAGAGCGTCCACACAGCCAGAGATTGAAAGAGCGTCCACACAGCCAGAGATTGAAAGAGCGTCCAGACAGCCAGAGAGTGAGAGAGCGTCCAGACAGCCAGAGAGTGAGAGAGCGCACAGACAGCCAGAGAGTGAGAGAGCGTCCAGACAGCCAGAGAGTGAGAGAGCGCACAGACAGCCAGAGAGTGAGAGAGCGTCCAGACAGCCAGAGAGTGAGAGAGCGTCCACACAGCCAGAGATTGAGAGAGCGTCCACACAGCCAGAGATTGAGAGAGCGTCCAGACAGCCAGAGATTGAGAGAGCGTCCAGACAGCCAGAGATTGAGAGAGCGTCCAGACAGCCAGAGAGTGAGAGAGCGTCCACGCAGCCAGAGAGTGAGAGAGCGTCCACACAGCCAGAGATTGAGAGAGCATCCAGACAGCCAGAGAGTGAGGGAGCGTCCAGACAGCCAGAGATTGAAAGAGCGTCCACACAGCCAGAGAGTGAGAGAGCACACAGACAGCCAGAGAGTGAGAGAGCGTCCACACAGCCAGAGAGTGAGAGAGCGTCCAGACAGCCAGAGAGTGAGAGAGCGTCCACACAGCCAGAGAGTGAGAGAGCGTCCAGACAGCCAGAGAGTGAGAGAGCGTCCACACAGCCAGAGAGTGAGAGAGCGTCCACACAGCCAGAGAGTGAGAGAGCGCACAGACAGCCAGAGAGTGAGAGAGCGTCCACACAGCCAGAGAGTGAGAGAGCGTCCAGACAGCCAGAGATTGAGAAAGCGTACACACAGCCAGAGATTGAAAGAGCGTCCAGACAGCCAGAGAGTGAGAGAGCGTCCAGACAGCCAGAGAGTGAGAGAGCGTCCAGACAGCCAGAGATTGAGAGAGCGTCCAGACAGCCAGAGAGTGAGAGAGCGTCCACACAGCCAGAGAGTGAGAGAGCGTCCACACAGCCAGAGAGTGAGAGAGCGTCCACACAGCCAGAGATTGAGAGGGCGCCCAGCGGACCAGAGCCAGAGAGCGCTCACAGGCAGAGCCAGGGCCAACCCCGATGTTCACGTTGGCTGACGAGCATGCACTCCGCCCCCCCTCCCCACCCCACGTGCTTGTGAGGCTTCTCTCGATGTATTTGCACGAGAACGGCCGAAACGCCGGGTAACCTCTCAGAGGTTCAGTTGTAAAAAGCAGTGGAGATGACGAAAGAAAATGGTTCGATTTTCGGTTGTTGAATAATATAGAGCCGAGACAAACCGCAAGTGACAATAAAGAGACTCAAAGTGAGTGAGATACGTTGGCATTGTATCCAACTGTGCTACAAAGGTCACGTGCCATGGATGACACGAGCTGAACAACACGAGACTACTGTAAACCACCAAAAGCTCGTGAATAATTACCACGGTTAAGATTCGTCTGTCCCGTCGGGACAGTGAATGAACAGGAACACCATCATCATTCTACACATCGGCAAGACTTGACTACAACTGGCAAGCCAATGGCTGCATCAATCACCTGGCTGCGGCTGTCATGACCAATCAAGCCGCTGTCTGCGCTGTTCCAAGTAACCGCGTGTGTGATGACTTCACAGTCACACACAGCAACAGACTCCGACACGCTTGCCCCATGTCACCTTCTCAACCCGAGCTTGAGAGACCGAAATCTGAGTGACACCTTTGTTGCCTTTGCCGAATCATACACATCATATTGTGCATGGGGCGATGCATTAACCTAAATTCAAAATTAAGCTATTGATTCGTTTATTTTTGTTTTCATTGGTATAACCGTATCAAGTATTATTTGGTTGAGTGTCAGTTGCATATTCAATGACTGGTGCTCGGATCTTTTATAAATAAGATACTTGTTTGTATTAAAACAATCGGTCTCTGTGTGTCTCGTTGAACAGCGTGTCAAATCCATCCGTTACGTGTGAGAAATCTAAGAATCTGAACAAGGTTGGCATTTGTCGTTGTGTATAACGAATACATCATATCCATATGCCATTGTGCAGAGAAAATAAGTCATATCGAGGACGAATCAAATATTATTTTAAATGACAAATACCTTCAACAACTACAGTGATGTCATTGCGTTCTTGAAAAATACAACATTTAAGTAAACGCATCACTAAATGCAAACGTACACAGGCAAAAGACAAAGTCACCCCCATATAGCCTTTAACAGACTGTTGGTGTAAGTGTTGGGTGGCTCTGAGTAAGTTCCAAATGAACAAGGGAAGTTGTTGTTTGCCGTGCGTAGCAATGGGCTCTGCTGTGGCGATGTCCGTGAGTGGCGAGGGCCGTACTTTTCCACCATTTTCTTGTAGCCGGAGATTTCCCTTGCGTAGAGCAGCTTGTTGATGGGGGAGTCCTGCATACAGAAATAGAAAGAGATACGCGGGAGAAAGACACGGGGACAGAGAGAGAAACGGAGAGAAAGACGTGGGGACAGAGAGAGACACGGGGGCAGAGAGCAACACGGAAGGAGAGAAACACGTGGAGAAAGAGACATGGGGAGAGAGAAACACCGGGAGAGACAGGGAGAGAGACAAGGAGAGAAAGGCATGGGGAGAGAGGGCACGGGGAGAGAGTAATCAGTGTGTATTTACAAAGCAGCGTCAAGACTGAGTGGTCCATGAGCCAGGGTGAAAATATTCACGGCCACATCACAGCGGCATCATGTGTGCAGAAAGTTACCAACGGGAGTGAATCGCAATTACATTTAAAAATGAATTGCCTACCAGTAACAGTTTTATGTATAAACACCTTCAGGGTGGTGGCGACGATCCAAATGTCTAGTACCGTCCCACGAAATAACATAACGAGTCTCGCAAAAGGAGAACCGATGTAGCCGCAGGGACAGCCGGCGTGCACTCAGTCACGTGTGACACTGGCAGCACTGGACGCTTGTGATTTGTGACTCGGCAACAGGCAAGGGGAGAAAGCTCAGCGACGATTCGTTTCGCTGGGCTTCCCCTCTTCGTTGTGTCCTCAGAATGGCCGACCAATGCAAACACCGAGGTTTGACCTTCCGGCCAGAGATAGCAAACAGGCTGAGATATACGTGTGTACATTTTTCTGAAAGGTGGAATTTCAAGGGCACTCGACTTTGCGCGTCTGGTCCTCGGTGTGCTCTTGTTCTATGTCTCCGCGTGCTCATGTGTGTCTAGATGTATTTGGCTGCTAGAAATTTCCAAGTGATAAGCCGCTTCGTTGAGCTATCATTTGCATCAAGGTCACTTCTGAAAAGAGCTATACAGCTCAGTGGGCCTTACCTGGTAAAATAAAAATAGTCTGTTTCGGTTTTAGATGTTCATGTGCGTCTCGATACTCGTGCGTGTCTCGATGATCGTGTGTATCTAGATGCCCTTGCTGCTCGTGACATGCTCATGCTGCTCACGATGACACTCACCCGGCCCAGCTTCTGCTCCTGGGTGGTGCACGAGTCCATGAAGGTCTGCGCGATCACGGAGAGCGACGCAGTCCACAATGTCGCTCACCTGCACGTCGAACACGAAGTTCGGGTTCTTCAGAATGTTTACCCAGAACCTGAGCGGCAGGCTGGAACACGCGCAGGAGAGGGGGCGGGGGGGGGGTACAGAGCAGGTTGGTCAGTCATACCCCCAGTTACACTGGCACATCTGAGCGGAGCCAGCGTCAGGCCGGCACGTTACAGGCGATTTTCCCACTAGATATTTGTCGAGCCAAGCCAGAACCAAACCGCGACATGCTGTGTCACAAGACGACGCTTGAAGCTGGCTCGGGGCCAAGCAGGGCCAGGGGGCGGGGCGAATGACGCATTTGTTGCAGTGCAACGTTATGTCGGCGTGTGGCAAAGACGCGGCGTTGCAAAGACGCGGCGTCGCCACGCCATCTTACACACGCCTCAACTCGTGCGTCGCATGCGACGTCGGGTGGCACAGCTTCGCTCGGTTATCTCGTGGACAAAATAGGTGTGGGGGGAGGGGCGGGGCCTTCGGTGGAGCGGCGAGTGTGTACGGGCGCCGCCACCTGTTAGTCTTCCAGATGTGGATGGTCTCCGGGTCCTCGATGCCGTGCCGCTCAGCCGCCTCGTCCAGGAAGTCGAAGAAGTACTTGACGGCAGGCGGCACCGGACGGCTCGTGCTCAGCACCACCCGGAAGAAGTCGTCGACGAACTTCTGCAGGATGCCCTGCGGAGGGACGGACACGCGCACACCGGCGCGACACTCACGCAACGTGCACGCGGCAACGCCACGATCGCACACCCCCACGGAGGCGTCACACTCGATGAGAGAGTGCAGCTGCACCTCATGTACCACGTAAACATGCAAATGTTGGTCCAATTTTGGCCCAAGCTTGCTTGATGTTTACCAGGGCAGCTCCCGAGTGACTTTCCAAATCGACAAAGAATAACTCCACTCCGGGTATCGGATTCGAAGTTGAATCAACTGCGGAGCCTGTGCCAGGCCTCGCGCGATTGCGAGGCCGGGGGAGCTGCTACCTCGGCATGTGTGAGCGTAGGGCAAAGACCGGGAGACGCGCGGTCACCGCTGTTGTCGCAGGTCAGCGGACTTGTTCTCCACCAGAGTCAGAAGAGGGGGACGAGGAAGCGGAGGAGGAAGAAGCGGAGGAGCAAGCGGTACCTTCATGGAGAGCAGGCGCGTGAGGTAGATCTCGGGGATGACCTTGGTGCGGTCGCGCTCGCGCATGCTGCTGCGCTTGCTGCGGTGCACCTCCACGTCGTCCGTGGACTTGACGAGGTGCCAGCGCTGGAAGCCGCCCTCTTCACCGTCCTCCAGCATCGGGGTTCCTGCACAGATCACGCCGTCAAGTCATCGCCATCGTCGTCGGGCGCCAAGGTGGTGGCGTCAGCACTACGACGAGTTCCCATAACGTTGGCGCGGAGTGGGAACCGCCGGGCCTATGTTGGGGCGACGTCACAGGTTCGCTGGGTGCATGCATGTGTTGCTGGCATGCGTCGCCACTCACGCTCGCCGACACAGTGGTCGCGGTGCTGGTCCTGAACGTGGCTGCTTTTGAACCTCTGTACGAGTGCCACCGTCGCTCCGTCGGGGACCTGTGGCAACGGACAGAGCCGCGCTATGTTGCAGGCAGGCCGCGGCCAAACCGCACCGCACGGCCAACGCGACAACCCTGGCCACCACAGCCACCGCGACCGTCGACAGGTGCCGGTTTGTGGTCGAACACGGATGGAAAAAACACTCAAACGGCAGAAGTGGAGGCACGTTTGTGATGAACAGCAGGACACGGGGTGGACGTGTCAGGGCCAACTGCGATCACGAGATAGCCGATCCTCCCCCCTGCCCCCTTCCCCCTCACCATGCCGCAGGCGTTAATTTCTGACTAAATGCAAATCATCACGTTTTAGTTTTGTCCAGTCAAGTGATGCTTTGTAGCTTCCAGTTACGAGCTTTATCACTGAGCAGCAGTAACACAAAGTCGCTAGGTAGGAGCAGAGCGATGAAGCCTGGATGGCGTTAGGGTTGGGGGTGAGAGGTTGAGAAGGTCGGGGGTCAGGGGACCATTGGCACCTTGTAGTGCTGCAGCGTGTTGACTCTCTTCCAGCGGCCGTGCGAGACGGACGTGACGTCCTCGTCCGAGAGGACCAGGTGCCCCGCATAGCCGTTGCGCCACTCTGCGCAGACACAAATAGCGTGGCCGCGTGGAAACACGGGTCAGAATGCCGGGCCAGCACCGCTGAGGTACTGGGTTCAGATCCGGGCTTCAATCGTCTGTGGAACTAAACAGGGCTCTCAAAAAGTACAGCGAGTTGATGATCACAGCCCGGTCACCGGTGACTCGCACAGAGCCGACCCATAGACTCAGATAAACCAAGTTGTGATTAAACTAGGTTCTCATGATGTGTAGTGAACGTATGGGTTCTGATGACACAAAAAACCTCAATGAATTTAAACATTTGATTTCTGCACTTCACTTGACTAAAGTTCAGCCCTGAGAATGAACAATATCCGTTTCACCGTCACGTGACGAACATTACTCTAGAATGTGAATGCGCTTCCTTCTCCGACGTGGACAAGAGGTCACTTGCAAGGGTCTCTAGGAGGTAGCTCTGTGAGATCCGCTTCCGCAGGCCCTTCTTGATAACACGAAGGGTGGCACCGCTGTCTGAGCGGGTGCTCCCGTGTCATGGCACCCCCAATGCCGACACGGCAACAGGGATACGATGGGGCAAATATTACAACATCAAGATAACACGCAAACATAATACGGCCGTAGCTCCCACCAAGAGCGATATCACGCGAGCCCAAACAGGAAGTGGTTGCAAGGCCGCACCCCACCTCACCCCTGCCCCTCCACCAGCCCCCCCCCCTCCTCCCCCCGCATCACGAGCCACCGGCGAGGGACACCCACCAAGTTCGACGTCGCAGATGGGGGGGCGCTGCGAGAAGGGCAAGTTCTTGTAGACCTGCTCCAGGATCTTCTCCTTGGCCTGATGTACGCTGTCGCAGTCCAGCAGGCGCACGGGCGTGGGCTGCTCCTCAATGCTGCCCTGCACCGTCACGTTCAGCATCTGCCGCCGCCGCACGCACGCACGCCACCGCGTAGCCTTAACAACACCGTCGGGGCGAGTGTTGCGAGCGAGTATCTAGGAAGGCTGGCACGGCGCACGAGGTGCTGGTGTGGCCGGTTTTATGCCGGCCAAGCATCGCATACACACATAGACCCAAGTACAGTATATGGAAATATATATATAGACACGTACACACACAAGACAAGCGCTCTCCTGTGTACCCTTGACAGACTTTTGGGGCACGTATGAAGTCCGGCAGAGCACATGAGGGGGTGGGTGGCCAGAATCACACCCAGCCGCCTTTGTCTCCCCAGTGCTGATGTTTTCACGTCACACCAGGTGTTAATTTATCTCTCACCCCTGTGTTGAGATGGTGTGCCACGGTGGAGAGATGTTTACTACCTTGCCTGGTATACAGGAGGTCGTGGGTTCAATCCCGATCCTGATGCCTACTGTATATTTGGAGTTGTATGTATGGTCGGGTAGTTTTTTCTGCAGGTCCTCCAGTTTTTCCCTTCCACATTTAGAAACATGCATTTAAACTATTTGGCTGCTATAAATGTCCACGTGATAAGCCACTTCGTTGCGCTATCATTTGTGGCCATGTTGCATCTGAAAAAGAGCTAAATAGCTCAGTGGGCCTTACCTGGTAAAATAAAACATAGTTTACTTTGTAATAGTTTAATAGCTGCTGATGTCGTCGTCATACCAGTTGTTGGTACTCAACGTCCTCCCCGAGCAGACGGTTGTCGTTGAGCGAGTACTTAGCCTTGCCCAGCACTACGTCCACGGGGCCCTTCTCCACCTGGTGCTTGATGGCCTTGAACAGCGTGAAGAGCGACTCCCCCGCCGTCTCCTGCAGGTCAAAACAAAGCGCTCGTCGTCCACGGAGGAGACACGGGTTGGGGGGGGGGAAGAGGCGACGGGCTCGTCGTACGTGCTGGCTCGGGCAACGCGGCATCCGATCGAGGCTGGCATCGAGTCACCTCGCGCCGCGTAGGGGCGAGCTGTTGTTAGCGGATCCCCTAGAAGAGCTGCCCTGAGGGGGTCCCTTAGGTGGGCTGCCATTAGCGGGTCCCCTAAGCGAGCGGCTGTTAGTTAGGGGGTCTCCGAGGCGAGCTTCGTGTCAGACGCAACAGTGCCTCCTCATCATTGGAACCTCCTCCTTCGAGCAGGGCACCCCCCACCCCACCCACCCCCCTCCACCCCATTTGACCCCGTGAACTCGTAGTTGCCCACCTTCAGGAATTTGTAAAGGCAGATGGACATCCAGTTGGTGAGCATCTTTTCCACCACCGTCTCAGTCCTTTAAAAAAAAAAAAACGATAGATGCATTTAGTTACAGCGATTGTCAACACAGGCGCATTTAATTGTACATTTGTTCTGATTTATTGCAATTTCTGGGAGCGGCCGTGACCGCCCGTGCCTCCGAATAATGAGCCATAGTGGCTTTCGGTGAGAGTGCGCGCGTCGTGTGCGTGCCGGGTGTCGTGCGCGCGGATGGGCCGAGCGATCCGTGTCGCCGCCGTGTCGCCGCCGTGTCGCCAGCGGTGCGTACCCTCATGCCGGCTCTTACCGTCGCAGCATGAGCTTGGGGTTCTTGGCCACGTACTGCTCCATGAGGTCGTTGAGCAGGGTCTTGAGGATGTCGGTATAGTACTCCAGGTTGCCGTGCAGCGCCACCGTGAGCAGCGACGCCACGCAGCCGCGGTCGCGTGCCGAGAAGGTCGGCTGTCGCTCCAGCGTGTGGATGAACTGCGGAGAGAGGGGCGGCGCGAGAGGAACGGTGACGCAGGGGGGAGCGACACGGGGAGCGACACACGGGCAGTGACGCAGCGGTGAGAGACAGAGGGTGGTGACAACGGCAAGGGTAGGCGTTTGCTTTTTCTGGTCTGGGTCTTCCCTGAATGAACATCGATGAGCCCGTGGCATCGTTCGCAAAGGTGGCAATTGCGTGCCGATGCCGGCGCCCAAAATCCACGTCGGCACCCCGCGCTCGTTTATCCGGTTACGTTGTTCGCGTGCGGGTTAGACACAACGTGAATTCAAACGCTATTACTGGAGTGCGTAGTTCATACAAACAAGGGCCCTGGAGGACTTAATATGCTGCTGGAGCAGTCAGCGAGCAGCTATGAAGGCCGGCACGGCGCGCGATACGGGGGGTTGTGGCCAACACCGCGCCTGCGCGGCAGCATTTGTCTCCCCACTCGTGGTACTCATTTAAGGTCGAGTCGACCAAGGGGGATGTAGGCCCACGACCAGTTTCTTTATCGGTCGTCGAGCAGAAAATTGAACTCGGGTCGCCGGGTTCCGTGGCACGGCGCGCCGACCGCCACGTCGACGCGTGCTCCCAGACGCGCACACAAACACAGAGGTTCCCGTGTAGTCGTAACAGACCGCGCGGGGCAAGCGCGCACACGCGGGCACACGCGGGCACACGTAGAAGCACCTTGGTGAGGAAGGGCTTGCTGTTGAGCAGGTTCGACAGCTGGCTGAGGCCCTGCTCCACGGTCTGCCGCCGCGCCTCCGACACGTCGAGGGAGCGCGACAGCGGGGAGCTGCTGCCGGGGAAGAAGATGCGCTCCGTGTAGAGCTTGTAGTCGCGGAAGGGGATGCCCATGCCGAGGAGGTCGCTCGACACGTCGTTCATCTCCGTCATCAGGTCTACGAGGGGACGGAGAGGGAGCGAGCGGCAAACGCCATCAACGCCACCACCACCACTCACTGCCGTTACCAACCACTACGACCACCACCAATCACCAACAACAACAACCACGTAATTCGCCACTAAATAGCGGTGACGTCACCACGGCGCTTGTGCCAGGCTATGTGCGCTTTAAGGCCACGTGAAGTGTTGAACGGCCGCTGGCAGGAGGTCACGGGACAGACCCATGTGCCATAGGCTGACTGACTGAGATGACTGGCAGATGCAATAGCTGTGCCCCCTACTGTGCCAACTCGCTGCATTTTAGCTGCCCGGCGCTCCGCTCGTTGTTACGAGCGTCGCTCCTCTCCTCTCTGTTGTTGCTGGAGGGCGACTGCCTTCAACTGCCCAGTAGCGTCCTTCACGAGCCGCCTCCGCCTGCTGCGCCTGCTTGCACCCCTCACCTGTGAACTGCTTCTTGCACTGGTCGCGCACGTTGGTCTCCAGGCTCTCCAGCTGTATCTGCACCTTCTTGTAGTCCCGCAGCGCCTTCTTGCTCTTTCTCCTGTGAACGTCCCACACGACGCGGTCACTCAGCGCGACGCGGTCACTCGGGGAAACGTGATGATGTTGTTGTTGTTATTTATGATGATGTACGTGTGTGTGTGTTGAACTTCTTTCTGTCCTAATCGAAGGTGTGGGGTCATGTCCATCTCACATTCATTGGTTCGCTCCTAAGTCCATCTCCTGCTTTCCTAGCCACGCTTCCCCAGACAGGAACGGTTGGAAACTCCCAGGGTGCCCCCCCCCCTCCCCCTCGGGAACTGCTTGTGGCTGGCTCCCATCGTGGGTGCGAACCCAGCGCGTGGTGCGCACGCTGGGGAAGTGGGAGTACGGGTGAAAGAGAAGGATTGTGGCTGCGAGGGTGTTACGCCCCGTGCCAATCTGGCAAAGCCAATGGGCGCGCCAGTGTGGCAGTAGCACCGCCGACAGGTTTTTATCCACCCCGGCGCCCCACTCATCGTTGCGAGCGTCGCTTCTCCACCCTCCGATGTTGCCGGAGGGCGACTGCCTCCAGTGCCTCAAAGTGCACCCAGCCTGGCACTGCGCGGGTCGAGTCCTTCACGAGCCTGCTCCACACGTACGCACCTGTAGATGAATATGACGGCGACCACCAGCAGGGTGAGGACGGCGGCCGCCACACCAACCCCGATCTGCGCCTCGTGCGGGAAGTTGTTCGTCACCTCCATGTCGTACTCCACGGGGCCCAGGTTGTACTCCAGGTAACCCATGTGCACCTGTGGGGAGGGGGAGACATTGCGTCGGACGCTTCGCGCACCGGCGCCGCGGGTCACGCGGCAACGATCGCGCGTCGGTGCTACCGGGCCAAACCGTCCGCGGCGTGGACCACGCCGCACCATGCAAAACCGCTCCACGCACCACAGCGATGCGGCAATACTACGGCACATCGCAGCAATCCTACGTGGCCCCACGCCCAGCAACACGGGCAACCTCGCAGCACACCGCACGCAGCAGCGGTGGGAGTCCACACCGTGAAGTTGACGGTCCGTTTGGGGTCGGGGGCGCTGGCTGACGGGTTGCAGTAGAGGTCGTTGTCGGTGAGCGTGCGGATCTCGCACTCCTGGTCCCCGAGTGTCGCGCGCACCTCCACCTGGCTGATCGCCTGCTTCAGGTTCTCACCCTAGAGGCACGGGAGGGGGGGGTCAAGAGGTCGTGGGGGCCGTCTCGCTCCAACAGGCCGACGTCGCGGGTCAAGCTACTCCATACGCTTGATGTCAACTATTAACGACACCATCATTATTATAATAATAATAAAAAGGAAAGGGTCCTGCCCTCACCTTGGCCACAATGAGGCTGCCCGGCTTGAACTTGTAGGGCTTGCTCGGGTCCTCGTGGTTGAGCGGCAGCATCTTGGGGTCACTCACGTAGCGGAATTGGCCGTAGTCCAGTTGCAGGTCGTCCATGATAAAGAGGAGGCGCGTGGAGGCACCGGGCGGAACGACGTCCGACACGCTGGGCGAGTAGCAGCTCATGCTCGTCTCGTTCAGCACCTCGCAGCAGTCCTCCGCCTGCCGCAAGCACGCGCACACGCGTGTTCACAAGAGGAAAAGGTGCAGCCCTGCAATTGCATGCTCCTGCCACTTGCTGGTGGAAGGGCATATGCTCGAGGGAGCTCTAGAGATCCTCTCTAGGGAGCATTGTGGCCTACCCTCTGAACGGCTGGCCAGATGTTTGAGTTGGTGGGAGCGCCCGGAATTTTTTCCACCTGCAAACCCGTTACTACCACGGGGTTGGACTGCGCCAGGAGATGGAACCGGAGACCCATGGCCACTCCACCGCAACGACGACGGCAGGGGCAGCGTCCCGCCCGTCCAAACGTCGGAACAAGTGGTACGCTCCGCACACGCTACGAACAACAACGTGAAGCTAACACAAGCAAGAGGGGAGCGAGGGGAAGGCGCTGCAGCATGCGGCGCAGGGGCGAGCGCTGCACTGAGCCATAAACCTGACGACCCACGTTCGATTCCCGCTCACGGACAACACCAATGACTATTATCTGCACCAATCCTGGGCCTTCCCCCTTGGCTGACTTAGCCATAAATGAGTACCCGATGCACTGTGTAAACATCAGCATGGGCGTGTTGCTGGCCATCCACCCCCTCGCGTACCGTGTCGGCCTTAATAGGTGCTTGCTAACAGCACTTGCCCCAAAGATGGGTCGCCGGAGTGGTGGAGGAGGCACTAGAACGGATTAGTATGGCACAGCGGTGATAACCCGAAATAGGAAGTTCATAGCACGTCAGTGTGTCTGCAGTCATTGTTGCAATGCGTGAGTTCTATTGGGGTGAGGCCCCTGAACATTCTAACCGCTAAACCTGGTTGTCAGAGTGACTCTCTAACTCACCCATGGCAAGTGAGCCGAAATAATAATACGCGTCAGATGGTGGAGGGCTCTCGCCGCAATAATTTGACCGAATCATTACTTTAGTGGCCGAACCCAACATTCAATTACGAGTCAAAGGAGATCACATCACGAAAAATGGCCTCGCGGTAACCTAGCTGGGCCCAAGCACAGTGCACGGACAAAAGCTCTCAGCTTGTCCAAACTACGCACGCCTCTAAAACCCGCACTGTGGAGGCAGCAGCGAGGGTTGGTGGATCACGCACAAATTTCGCGCAACTCCCTCCCCCGTAGGGGAGGCATCATACCCTGGTTCGCCAGGGGAAGACAGTACAGCAAATGCGAACTTCATCTGCTCGGGGATAGAACACATGGGCTTTCTCTCGGTGCTCCGGTTTACTCCTATATGTAAGCACTCATTCATTGGGCTTGAGGAATCGTTGGTCATGCCGACTCCTCGTCACCTGGCCGCTGCTGCTCGCACCTGCCGAGTCGCTCTGTGTCTACGCGAGTGAGCGAGCAAACACTGATCGTGAGGCCGCGCCGTGCCCCCAGTGGACCCACCAGGACGGCGGTGCCCTGGGGCTTGCGGTGACGCTGCGCGGTTCCGGGTCGGCACAGAGTCGGGGATGCAGCCACGGCCCGGGATCTACGCGCCCACCCGCGGCTCCTCCTGCGGCGAGCCGCATCGTCGCCGGGGTCGGAGGAGACCGGCGCGGACCACGAGGACGCCGCGGCGACCACCTCCACCCGCACCAGCGGCTGCTCCACCGAGTCCAGGTTGGTGCCGGTGACCAGGATGGTGCGCCCTCCGCTGCGAGGTGTGACGCACGCACAGCGACAAAGACGCCGTCACGTTCGGCGCCCCGACGCACGCGCTTGTGTACGCACGGCAACGACGACGATGACGGCCGCCGTTCGCCACAGACCGACGGTGATGGCGCCACGGCGCCTGTGTCTGGCTCGGGGCAACTTCGGCACCGCGTGAAGTTCCAGAATCCGGCCAGATGGCTCAGCAGCAGAGTGAACACATCGCAATCGGAAGGTGATGAGTTCGGGGGGCGGGGGGGGGGAGTATGAAGTCAACAGTGGTTGCCCGATGGATAAACTTGCCCCCTGCCATAGCAATGTGGAATTTCCACCATTGGCTTAGTGCTGTAAACAGGAGATGAGCACCGCCTTGATGGCCCATTGAACACGGGTGACTGTGGTTCCCTGTTGGCAGGACGTCCCGGGACAGACCCAGGTGTTACGGGTTTACGGACCGGGATGATGGGACCCATGCACCTGGACACACGTGCATGTACGCACGAGAAACAAAGATTACGGTCGCTAGAAATTGGCTCGTCACTCCCACTGCACCCAACCAATCGGCTGCCATGAAGACAATGCCTCATGTCCGCCGCGATATCATCGCAATAATAAGAACCTCGATTTAAAGCTTTCGTGACTGCAGGAATTTATACTCTTTCGGTCAAGTCACGTAAATAAAAAATAATAGATCACGACGTTTCGATCGCAACACAAGCAAACGTCTTCAGGTGAGAGAGAGAGAGAGAAAGAGCTGCTGAGACGTGGTCTTATACAGGCCTGAGATGGTGCAACAAGGTCGGTGGGTGGAGCTAAAGATGGTCCAACCAACGGAGACTGGGTCAGTGGCCTTTGTATTGAGAGATTATAATAACCTCTATTTTATAAAGTGCCTTTCATATTAAAGTATCTCAAAAAATATTAATTAACGATGGACTTTTTTTACTGTGACATGTGAGTGAGTGATCCCGACCTCCCCTAAGTTATCCCACAACGTTGAATTGTCTGAACTCCCGTAAAGAATCGACGTCAAAGCTTTACGCTGTGACATCGATTCGAGTGCTCGGGGACCACCGGCCGACGGAGGCCTGCGAATTTAAACCTCGCGCTGCCGGGACGCCGCACCTGATGAAACTCTCCTTGGGCTCCACGTTGTGAACCTCGGGGTCCGGGGTGTAGGTGTAGAGGCCCGAGAGCCTGCGCTGCGCCAGCGGCCCATAGTGCAGCACCACCTCGGCCTCTCCGGGCTCCGGGTTGCTGCTCGTACGGCACCTCACCTCGCTCTCCGTCACCTCCACGTTCCTGCTTAAGAGAACAAATGCCGATCGGTCGGACGTACGAACAAACGAACCCTCGCACGGACGGACGAAGCGGATGTTCGCACGGACCAACGCACGGTCACGTAGAACGATAGACGAACGCGGCCACAGAGAAGAACGCACGGTCACGTGGACCAATGCAGAGAGAGACGTGCAGCCTCACGGATGAAAGCACGGTCGCACACACGGATGGATGGACGGACGGCCACACCACGCGCGCGGAGAGGCGCACGCACCTGCAGTTGGTGTTGCCGACCGTGACGGAGATGTCAGCGGCGCTGCCCGAGAACAGGTCGTCCCCGAGCACCCGCAGCATCGTGCCACCCGCGCGGGGCCCCTTCACTGGGAGGAACTCTTGAGGATGGGGGTCCTGCCGTCCGGCAAAAAGACACGGCAACAACCGTCGAATAAATAACAAAACGGCCAGCGTTCGGAAGGGAGGAGAGAGGTGGCACCGTACCCGCGTTTAGGGGGTGTGATCGCGATACGGGTTCATCCGCGGGCGGTACGGTGGCGGTGCGGGGATTGGCGCATGGCAACCGGAATCCGGTGATCCGGGTTCGATGCCTGCTCCATGAATGAAATCTGAACAAGTGCCATCGTCTCCTTTCCCAACGTTCTTACCAAACAGAGAGCCTTGCTCAATCCAAGCAACGTGTTGCCTGGCAGCCCAGCATTATTTTTCGGCTTCGGCCACGCAGCGATCCGGCCAGATTTTTTTGCCGCGAAACCCTCCACCGCCCGGCAAGGCCAAACAAATAAAATTGCCAAATTCGGCCAGATCACTACACGTGGCCTAACCCAAAATCAGTCGGAGCCGTTTGTTGCCGGCCGCTCGACGTTTTTGGCCCCCTTTGGGCCCCGAGCTCAAAGGGGTCCCGGATGTAATCTCTCCGAGCGAGAGGGGGCTGATGCGGGTCACTGCCGAGGGCGGCCACCTGGTAGGTGAAGAGCTGCGGCGCCGTCGCGGCCGAGTCGAAGCCTCGCAGCTTGAGCACCACGGGGCCCTGCGTGACGGCGCTCACGCTCGACAGCTCGCACACCACGCTGTGGGGGAGGTGGGGGGGGGCAACAAAAACAAATTCACACGCATGCACACACATAAAGAAAAAGATCCCCTGTATAGCCTTAACGGACTGTTGGGGCAAGTGCTGTTGGCGAGCACCTATGAAAGCCCAGCCGCCTTTGTCTCCCCAGGGCGCACACACAGCGAATGTGACCATCGTGACACTGGCACTCACACAGCTGCCTGATCACATGACCAAGAGGCCAGGTGTGAAGCTAAAGGGGTGGGGATTGTGTAAGACCCGAGGTGGCATCAACCTGTTGCCTAACTGTCACGCGGCGCACAAGACGTTAACGACGTGCCAATTATTTATCATTTTGTCCACGGGCGAGTCAAACAGCAAGTTTCACAAGTGAACAAAGCAGCGAGTCAGATCGGAATCGAGCGGGCGAGCCACCTCGTAATCCTCGGCGACACCCTCCTCCACCCGTCTCCACCTATTCCACCTCGTCCTCCACGCGCCCCCCCCCCCCCTTGCCACTTACCGTATCGAAATCTCGTAGAGCTCCACGACGAGGGGGCACGGCGCGCCAGCCACCGTCACCGCCTCCACGTCGTCCACCCGCTGGCCCATGTCGTGACCCCACACGGTGAGCCGCGTGCCGCCCTGCAGCGCCCCCGTCGTCGGCTCCACCTGCGGACAAACGAGGGCGACGCGCCACGGAGGGTCGCGCTCACGATCGGCAGGGAGCGGCGCGGACTCCCCACCCGGTGGGGGCCACCGTGCGACCGCCGCGTCGCACGCACGTGGCTGCTCACGGCCTCGTGCGGAACAGCGACTCTCACCCGCACGATGTTGGGCGCCGGGCAGGTGGAGAGCGGCGCGGCGCAGGTCTTGTTGTAGACGCACGTCGGCTTGACGCCGCACCACTGGCAGCCGTAGCTGGCGTTGGCGGCCAGGCACTGGCTGCAGTCGCGCCGGCCCTCCCCGCACTTGTACAGCGTCACTGCAGCGCCGGCAAAAACAGGGAACGGCGGTCAATACCGGCGTACGCCGCGCGCAGTGGCAATACGTCTCTCAATCAATGTTTTGATGCAAATCATCTGCTGCTGCTGCTGCTGCTGCTGCTACTGCCGAACGTGGCTGCAGGGTTACCTGAACAGACATATGTGCGAGCGATCCGAGAATAATCGACTCACTTTGATGGCAGCGTTGCTCAATTGTGAAAAACAGCTTTTAATTAAGAATATACATTAATCAATAGGAGCAGTGACGCTCTCGTTGTTAGCTCGTGAGACAGCGCGTGAGCGAGCGTCGGAGTGAGCGTGTTCACGAGCGTGCGGTCGCGCTTCGCGCACCCTGGAGGTCGTTGTGGTTGTCGATGTTGAACTGCGACGTCCACCGCACGGTCACGTCTGCAGGGACCTCCATGGCAGCCTCGTCGTAGTCGTACTGCAAGCACAACCGACACCATCGCCGCGTTACCGCGGAAACGCTGTTGGCGCGATAGCCACACCGAGTAGGGCCCAGGGAGAGACAGACATGGGCCGCAAGGAGGGCTAGGACATGTGTGTGTGTGCGTGCTTGTGTGGTACAGTAGGGGGTACAAGTGGTGCATCGGCCAGTCATCTCAGTACCGTCAACCCATGGAACCTGAGTCTGTCCCGAGACCTCCTGTGAGCTAGCCTTCTACACTTCACGTGGCCTCAAAGTGCACCTGACCTGGCACAGATACCGTGGTGACGTCACTGTCGCTAAGTGGCGAATGACGGTTGTATTGGTATTGAGGGCACTGGGGGGGGGGGGGTGGGGGGGCGGCCCAGGAAGGGACGTGCGCTTGTCAACGCGAGCGATCTAAGCGGCAGGCTGCTGCTGCTGCTGCTGCCGCTGGCGGTGGTGCTTAGACCCCGTTCACCGCGTGCCGGGTCTCAAAGCGAACATTGCGCAGTTCATCTTGGAATGGGCACCGTCGGATTTGCACGTCGGCGCTCACCTGGGCCACGTCGCAGGTGATGACCGTTTCGGAGCTGGTGACGTCGCTCGCCTGCGCCCCCACAGCGTGCGACTTCCCGTCCACCGTCACCAGGCACTCGAACGCCGGCACCTGCGTCTGAGATTAGTGCCAGCACCGGTGGTATGACGGCAGTGCGTGCGGCGGTGAGGAGAGTGGGGGTGGGGGGGGGGTGAAGGGGCAGATGTCAGGATGTGGGAGACCTGCCGAGGGCTTCAGTGAGCACTCAGCTGGCTCTGATTAACGTCCGATTGGCCGATTGCTCGAGTGAGTGAGTGATTGGTAAAGTGTGCGCTCTGTTCAATTGGTTTATTGGATGAGAGTTTGATCATCACCTTGGCCAAATAGGCTCATCCAATTCGCCGGTTTTATTTGTTGGGTTGAGTCCCTATGAGCAACGCGACTTTACGCAGAAATGCAATCGGACCGTTTCTTCCGAGAGCAACGGCGCTTTTAACGTCGGCCGTAACGCGTCAAAAATAATTAGGGATATAAATAGCCCTCGCCCAAATAAATCCAAGTTTGCGCGTGCCCACCCATGCCGTGCCCCCCCCCCCCCCCACTCCGTCACCTCCAGCAGGTTGAGGTTGCGGGCGACGAAGGCGAGGGCGGTGGAGAAGCGCGCGGGCACGAGGCTGGCGCTGGAGAAGCTCTCCAGGCACGGGCAGCTGCCGGGGCCCTTCATGGGTACGGCCAGCTCGTGCTGCAAGCGACAGTACACCGTCACACGGGCACGGGTAGGGGCAGGACTACAGACATTCCTAATTGATCCTGAATGCACCCCAATCCTCGAGATGTGTCTTCATTTCCCACCCATGCCCTCATCCTCTAGGTACGCTGCTGCCGCCATTCTCTAGATTTTATACACAACACTATCCCTGTTAGATGTGTCCTCCGAATCCCAGCCATGCCCTCTGACCCAGAGACGCTTCATCATCCTCTATACCCACGCCCCTATCCACTCGACACTCTGCACGAACATTACCCGCAGATATGCCACCCCAACTCTGGACGTGCCCGCCACCACCCCCCCCCCTCCCAAGTTCTGGTCACGGCTCTCAACCAGAGCCGTGCCCCAATTCCCCAAACCCATGGCCCTTATCCTATCACATTCCTCGGCGAGTAATTATTTAGCACAGAGGGCTACTAAAACGAGAAGAGCCTTGCACGGGCTTCACCATCGTGAACGCCAGCAAGCTCCCCACTCTGGTCATGCAGCTACGCAGGAAGAGACGCGAGGGAGGGAGCGAGGGAGCGAGGAGCCTTGGGAATCGAAGCCTCAGCACGAGTGAAGAAGGCCCCCAAAGCTTCTCCTTACCTCACCCAGGCAACAGCCAGAAGCACGAGCACGCAAGCACGCACGCACGCACACACGCACGCACGCACACACGCAGGCACATGCGGGGTGAGGGGGTGAGGCTGGGAAGGTAAGGCTGGGAGGGCAATTGAGCCATTCCACAGTAATTCCGCATTCGCCGTAGCATGGGCAGTTCGTTTGCACACTGACACATGCTCACCGCACGCTCCCCTCTAACACAATCACCACGTGCTCAGCACACACTCGGCATATACTCGGCACACGCTAAGCGCACGCTCGCCTCTGACAGCCCCAGATCTACGGCTACCGGGCGGGATTGGCGATGGTGTAAACGAGCAAGGTGAGGGCGGGGAGGGGGTAGCAGGGGAGGGGGGAGGGCTTCTCCGTGGGGAAGGAGCGGCACGGTCATCTTCTCGAGCGACGCAATGCAAGCGCCTCCCAAACACCGCGTTCTGCAGTCGGCAGAACGAACGGTGTTTGTGACGCTGGGGGGGAGTGGGGGGGGGCGGTACTCACGTGCGTGTGGTGGCCCCCCCCCGCCGCCGTGTGGGGGAGGAGCTGTGGGGAGAGGGGGTGCCCGGCCAGCGCAGACCGCGGGTGCAGAGAGTGCGGGCGAGAGCCAGAGGCAGACAGCTGCAGCAGAGCAACTAAAGCGGCAGTGGGAGCTCCCGGTGTAGCAGCATCATCATCACCACCGTCGTCGTCGTCACCGCCATCATCGTTGTCGTCGTCACCATCACCGTCACCAGAGAGCAGCATCAGTGAGGAGGAGGAGAAGCGTGCGGGCGAAGCGGTGGGGTTTGCGGAAGCGGCGGCGGAGGAGCCGGGCAGCGGCGAAGACTTCTCACCCTCGCCCCCTGACCCCGACTCGTGACCCCCACCAAGGGTCAACGGGCTGGTGTCAAAGGTGAGGAGAGGCTCTCCGAGGTCACCGCCGGCCGAGCGAGCGGCGGTGTGGGTCGGAGCGGCGTGAGGGTCGGCGTTAGGGTCGGCGTTAGGGTCGGCGTTAGGGTCGGCGTTAGGGTCGGCGTTAATGTCAGGATAGAGGTTAATGTCGGGAAAAGGGGCGGCACTGGGGTTAGCGAGCGTTGGCGCATGCTGGGCGGGGCGGGGGGTTTCAGCGGGGGGCGCGGGGGTGGCATGCCGAGGGGGGGGGCGAGCAGGGCCGAGCGTGAGCAAAGCTACGGGGAGAGCAGGGTCAGAGGTTGTCGGGTTAGAGGGCCCGTTAGTTGGGGCGGCGGCGGGAGGAGCAGCGGCAGGCGGCGGTGTCGCGAGAGCGACGACCGCCGCACGCACCGGGGTGGGGGGCGCCTCCGGGGGCGTGCGGGGAGGGGCCGTGGGGACGCCGGCAGGGGGCAGGCTAGGGACACCGGCTACAGTGGAGGGCGTGGGGGGCTCTACTGGCAGGAGGGGGGAGGAGGGGGGTACAAGTGGCTGGGAGAACTACCGGGGTTACGCGCGCGGGCGCACACACGCGCACACACACACGCACACACACACGCGCACACGCGCGAACCGCAACCACAGCGCAGCAACGGACCGGGAAGGGAGGAGATGAAGGAGACAGAGAGAGGGAGGAAGATAACACACGCACACAGTTACCATCCACATGCCACATCCAAAGTGAGAGACAGCAACCACAAGGTGACCGCAGTGAGAAATGTAAAATATAAAAAAAACATTGGAGGGTGAACGAGGGTGACGATCGGAGAGGGAGGCGACAGTCGCAGGAATCATTGCTCAGCAAACTTGAAGACAAAAGCCCGAGGGAGCAGGGAGCACCGCACCCTCGATCCGAACCCCGACCCCGAGACCCGAACCATGACCCTGACCCAGAGGTCGAGTGGGAGCTGGCGGTGATGCAGGGGAGTTGGGGGTGGGAGGCAGTGCCGTCCCTTCTCGCCGGGTCCCACAGCCACCGCGACACTAACGGCCGCGACGCTCGCAGTCGCTACAGGCGATGACCACAACCGTGATGGCGGCGGCGGCGGCGGCGGCGCGAGTAGAGGGGCGACGGGGAGTGTACCTGGGCATTGTGGATGATGGGGCCCTCCTCACAGCTGGGCTCGTGGGTGCACTCGTGACGGTGCACGCACCAGTGGCAGCTCCATGGGCTGCCCACGCACGCGGCGCACCTGCACACACGCGTAGCCACAACAAAGGTCCCCTATGAGGTCGGCACGCAGGCTGTTGGGGCAAGTGCTGTTAGTGAACACCTACTAAGGGCAGCACGTTGCATGGTGGTGGGAGGGGGTGGGGATACTCATTTGAGGCTGAGTTGACTTAGAAAAGGCTCAAGATGGGTTCAGATAATCCTCACTGGCATTGGCCATGAGCGGGAATTGAACTCGGGTCGCCGGGGTTCGTAGTGCGGTGCGCTAACCGCTACACTACCGCTCCCCACACGCACACACATGGCCACGTCGGCTAACATGCCAACACACACATACACATATGCACACATGCAAAACGCGACCACACAAGTCAGTCAACACACACCAGACACACACGTTATACAGGAGCCCACACAGTGGAAGAATCACAATGCTTTACGCAACCGATGAGAAACTCAAGTTGCGGAAGAGTGCGTTTGCCTGCTGGCAACAAATAATACTCTCTTGCAGCAGGGCTGTTTTCCAGGAATAAAAACACAACACTCCGAGCTTAACCCGCCCACGTACATGCACATACCAACATACATGCCTCGCATAACAGGTGACATCACCACACCGCATGTACGATGCACACGGCCTTGTTTTAGTGATGGGGGGGGGCGGCACTTGGCGAGGTCACATGACCGGCAGTGCACGTCGGGCAGGTCCCAGCGTGCACGACCAGACGTGTTGCCGTGCGAGCATTGGGCGGCGAGCGAGCAAGAGAGAGAGCGAACGAGCAAAGGGTCTGCGCACGCATATGTTAAGCGCGCCAGTGTGTTAATGTGTGTGGTAGCGCGAGTGAGTTAGTGTGGTGGGCGTGCGAGTGAGTGAGCGTGCAAGCATATGCATGAGTGTGCACGTAGGTATATGAGCGTGTTCGTGGGTGAGTGTTCATCTCAGCGAATGAGGGTGTGAGTGTGTGAGCGAGTGTGGTTGTGGAAGAATGCGAGTGAGTGTGCATGCACAATGGTGCACGAACGTGTTAGCGTGTGAATAAGCGTGCAAGCATGTGTGTTGTGAGTGCGTGAATGTCTTCATGAGCGAGTGTGTAAGTACAAGCTTCACCACTTAGAGGTGAAGGGCGGTTGTTGTTAAGTTAAGTTAGTGTGCGAGTGAGCGTGCGAGTGAGCGTGCGCGTGAGCGTGCGAGTGAGCGTGCGAGTGAGCGTGCGAGTGAGCATGCGAGTGCATGAACGTGTAAGTGTGCGAGTGAGCGGACGGGCGTGTGAGCAAGCGTACGGTGCATTGCGTCGCGTCTGGGCGACGGCGTTGCAGTTGAAGTAAGTGAAGCTGGAGGCGGCGACCTCCACTCCCTCGAACCGTAGGACCAGCGGCACCACCATGTGGTCTGTTGGGAAGGAGGGGAGGGGGAGAGATGGAGAACACAGAACCAGGGTAAAGCAGCCGCGGCCCACACGGAACGAGGCACTCCGCGAGCGAACAAAACCTAAGAGCCCAGGCAAATGAGGAAGGAAAAACCAGGCACGCGTGGATCCAGTGGTCACGGTCTTGTCCTAAGTGAATCAGCGACGAGCGTTACATCCGGAGCCACGTGACCACGTGAAGCCGCACGGCATAGCAACGGCATCTCACGACATCACACGTGATCACGTCATCTCCTCGGTAGACAAAGACCAGACACTTAAGCGCTGGGTTCACCACCGAGTTCTGGGAAACCGCGCGATCGGATTTGGCCACTGTGGTCTGCAGAGCGAGACCCGAATAGTGACACGGCACTGGACGCTAACGTTTTGTGGATTGTCGGGTCACTGACTCAAGTTTTGACCCCCCCTGCTAAGGACAGACAATGAACAACGGTGGCCAAGGTGGTCATCCGACGTCCAACCGACGTCGGCAAGGACCTGCACCATCGTTGTGGTCGTTACAACGACCTGACGAATCGACGGACGCGAGGCGGATGTCAGCGGGGGTGTCGGGGCTGACCTGTGCCGTTCCAGGTGAGGGCGCCGATCTCCGGCGTGTGGCACGTGAGGCTGGAGCCGGACAGCGTGGCCGGAACGTTGTGATAGAGGAACGAGCAGGTGTAGGTCTCCCCGTCTCCCAACGCTGGCAGCCCGTCCACCTGCAGCGTGATCTGGTTGGGGGGGACATGGGGGGCACATGGGGGGCATGAGGGAGGTGACCCATATTTACAACCCAGCTTGGATTCACACGGTGTGTAAATGCAACCGTATTTCAACACGTTGTGGCCTCTGTGTGAGTCTATGGGTCTCTGTGCGAGTCTATGGGTCTCTGTGCTAGTCCATGGGTCTCTGTGCGAGTCCATGGGTCTCTGTGTGAGTCTATGAGTCTCTGTGCGAGTCTATGGGTCTCCGTGTGAATCTATGGGTCTCTGTGTGAGTCTATGGGTCTCTGTGAGAGTCTATGGGTCTCTGTGCGAGTCTATGGGTCTCTGTGTGAGTCTATGGGTCTCTGTGCAAGTCTATGGGTCTTCGTGCGAGTCTAAGTGGTCTGTCATAGGCAGAGGAGAGGAGGAAGTCTTGATCCTGGACTGGCACAGGGTCAGGGAGTTGACGGCAGGGATGGTTGGCGAAAGGGAGTTCAAGGCTATGGGGGCAACAGGAGAGAAGGAGCGATCACTGTTGACGCAAGTACTGTTAGCAAGCACCTAGGAAGGGACCGATGGTGACGCTCAAAGGAGGTAGTGTGGCCAGAACCACACCCCACCACCTTTGTCTCCTCCACTGCATTCCCACTCGACAGGCACCCGTCCACTGTGTCCGGGAATCTAACTCGGGTTGCCAGGATGGCACCACGTGTGTACGTGAGCACGTGTGGACGCAGGCCCTGTGTTTACGTGTGTGCACGCGGTCACGTGGGGACGTGGGCACTCTGTGTGGGGGGTTGGGGGGGGGTTGTGCGTTAAGCAGCACGCACCTCCTGTTGAACAACCCAGCTGATGTTGGCGGGCGCCACCTCCTCCACCCTGAGGCACTCCTTGTCATAGCTCCAGCGCCAACGGTTGGGCTCGTCGGAGGAGCGGCACTCGGAACGCCGGGAGCACCTGCGGGCAGAACCACGGAGCTGGGCACTCACCCTCGCTTGCGCCCCCTCACCCCGACTCATCCTGGCTCGCCCTCCCACCCCCTGGGTCACGTCTTCACCCTGACGACTCACCCTGGCTCACACCCTAACCCTCTCGTGCGTTCACACCGTGATGAGTACTGCTATTATTGCCCTTGCCAATCCAGAAAACAACCAAGTAGAAATCGAAGCAGAAACAATCGCGCTGTGACTCGAGCATGAATCAATATTAAACCAAATACATTTCCAGTAACTGAAGTAGGCTCGTACAAAAACGTGGTTACCGAGCGCGGCAGCTCACCTCCCCTCCAGCACACACCACCCGCAGTAGGGGTCGCGTGCGGCCACGCAGGACACACAGTCTGCGTGCTGCCGGCAGCTGCTCACCGGCACGCGGCTCACCTGCGACGTACGCCACCGTGTGAGGCACGGGGGGAATGGGGGGGGGGGGCGTGGGGAGATAATCGGGCTCAACGACGAAGTCACGGGCAACGTCGCGCGGGCAAACACCACAACCCTGCCACGAGGTAGAACGGTCACGGGTGCCTGTGCACAGGCCCACCTGACCCCCTGAGTCGAGAATCGAGCCACCAGCATTTCATGCTACGAGGCGCGAGCGTTACCACTGCTCCGCAACTCCTGCCGTGCTCAGGATGAGGTCAAATATCCAAGGATTATCTCAGGCCTTTTTCTGATTGTGTACATCTTGCGCGAATGTCTTCGTGATAACCACCGTGGCTTCGCCAGCCTTACCCAATGCCAAGCGACGCCACTTTCGAAGGGAAAGCAAGGAAGTGATGTCACGATAATACCATCGTCACTTCCGTTTTTTTGGATCAATCCCTAAAACTAAATATTCAGATTGTCCCCAAGTCCGTAATTAGGCCTGGATTTTGGCGTTTTGCGATTTAGTCCAAAAATCGGGTTCTCGTCTGTACTCACTCTCACACACGTGGTCACTCGTCTCAATAAAACCTGGACCAACTCAAAATGTTGTAGCAATTGAGTGTTGGGAGTATTCGCAGGTGTGGGAGGATGCCGGAGGGCCTCACGTTGTTCTCGGCCATGACGTAGATGTACTTGCTGTCGTTGCTCAGCTCCATGTCCTGCTTGATGGCGCCCGGCACGGAGAGCAGCGGGATGCTGTCCTTGAAACCGTCCTTGTCCGCAATGAACGCCTGGCACACGAAGCAGCAGCATCAGCAGCAGCAGCAGCACAGACACCGTGACCACATAAGCAAAAGGCCCCAACATGCTAGGCCCGCCGCCCGGCATGCCGTTTTAGAATGGGATGAAAGCAAGCCTGGGGGCTTGGAGGTCGGAGAGCGAGGCCGGCACCGCTGAGACCCGAGGTTCGAATCCAGGCAGCCACCTCCGCAACTAAACCGGGTTCTCAGGAAGTGCAGTGAGTTGATGGTCTAAGCCCAGTCACCAGTGGACTCGCACAGAGACCCATACACTCACGGAGAGACCCATAGACTCGCACAGAGACCCATAGACTCGCACAGAGACCCATAGACTCGCACAGAGACCCATAGACTTGCACAGAGACCCATAGACTCGCACATAGACCCATAGACTCGCACATAGACCCATAGACTCGCACAGAGACCCACAGACTCAAACGAATTACGTCAGGGGGATCAGTAACGCCCACAGCGAGTGAAGTAAACACGCATATGTAAAGGTTAATACAGTGCACCGCAGTATTAACTACAGTGGCCGCTGGAATCGAACTGCGGACTTCTGCAACGAGCGACGAAGGCGTCGCCGTTAAAGTTCACATCGCATGAGAAAACGGAGCGATCCGACGAGGAGAAAGATGTTTGTGATATGATATGTCAAGAAGGAACCACTGGGCACTTTCACATTGCTGTGGACAAATAGGAACGCTCCCAGGTCAGACAAACTGTGGACATCATCTCAGAATGAGGGATTGAAATTATAACAAAAATAATTATTATTATTATTGATATATCCAGGAAGCCACACTCATTCCAAGGACTCTCTTTCAGGAGGGTCCTGCACCATACGTTTTTACATTAAGATGTTTTCAGCCAATTAATGAGCGTTTATTCAGTGAATGCAATAGGGGGGCAAAGCTCTATCCCCGTACATATGGAAACCGATGGAGGGTTACGGCTCGCCCTCGACAAACAAGCGGATCAATTTGGCCTACCGCAACGCGGAACAGAGCGAGGTCCCCTGCTGCTCGAACGGGGCCATCGACGCTTCACGGCCCCACAGAGGCCCGGGGCGGCCGTGCGACCTCCCCGCACGAGCGTCTTCCGTGAGGAACCAATCCCCCCCGCCCCCTCCACCTTACCCGGCTCAGCTGGCCCTTGTTGGTCCCAAGGAACGCGTAGGTGCGCTCCTCCTCGGTCGTCACGGCAACGGCGGTGATGCAGGCGTCGTTGTTACGGCCCAGGAAGGTGCCGTCGGTGGGCACCTTGCTGGTGATGGGGGTGGCCAGGTGCTCCGATCCGCACGGGTAACGCGCTTCCGACTGGGACATGATGGGGAGGGGACGGACGGAACGACGGACGGAAGGGTTAGGGCCACACACGGCCCACATCACGGACACGGCACCACTGCCAAATGATGACTCGGCACTGAGTAATTCACTCGAGTCCCTTGCTCCCCACTTTTCAGTTGCCTCCGTATCACTGTTCTCTTGCTACTATCATGGTTACTCTGTCCGGGAACTTCACTTAATTCCTCCACCCGTGGTGGAGGAATTGGTCTCCCAGAATGACTGTTTTGCCTCATCCACACCACGTTCAAGCACCAGCACGCCGCAGCTAACAACAACTCGCTCGCCCACTCACCCGCCACACTGCAGGTCACAGTGCTTCCCCTTTCGGCTCGTTCCCTCGCACTGCTCCACGCTGGAATTCCCTCCTCCCATCATCATCACCATCACTGTCTCACCATCATCATCACCATCATCATCACCATCATCACCATCACCATCTCATCATCACCATCACCATCATTGTCTCACCATCATCATCACCATCATCATCATCACCATCATCACCCTCACCATCTCATCATCACCATCATCGTCTCACCATCATCACCATCATCGTCATCGTCTCACCATCATCATCACCATCATCGTCTCTTCAAGCCCCTCCCAAGCTCTTACAACAATCAACGTGGCTCAATGCAGGAAACGTGTGACAAACTCTTAACCATTACAACTCGGATAACAGTGCTGTTTGTTGCTGGACACTGGACGTTTTGCTGAACGACGCTCAGCAACTGCGTTCATCCCCCCCCCTCCCCCACCTCGTGCGGTCTCCGGGGGCCGTTCTGTTTGTTCCGCCAGAGCTGCCTCACCGATGTTTGCGTAGAGGCCCGATTCGGGCCTCCTCCTCCAGCGCAAACCCGGGGTAATTTATCGCTCGTCTGGGTTCATTTACTCGCCCGCCCCTGCGTGTGCGCTCCGACGGCGCAGCGAGCGTGCCTACGGGTGTGTGCGTACGCACGTGTGTCTGTGTGGGTGGGAGCGGTGGTGTAGTGGTTAGCGCGCTGCGCTACAAACCCGGTGACCCGGGTTCGATTCCGGCTCACGGCCAACATCAGTGACGATTATCTGAACCGGTCCTGGGCCTCCCCTAGGTAGACTCAGCCTCAAATGAGTACCTGGTGCGGTGTTTAAACATCGCCACCGGGGCGACAAAGGCGGTCGGGAGTGGTGCTGGCCACCCACCCCTCATGTACTGTGCCGGACTTAATAAGTGCTTGCAAACAACACTTTCCCCAACAGTCTGTTAAGGCTATATGGAAGATCCTTGTCTTTTTTTGTGTACGAGTGTGCGTACGTGTGCGCGCGCGTGTGCACGTGCTCGCCTAACAAGTCAACAAGAGAGGGCGCGTCGCTGCACAAATAAACACCGCCTTCACTGAGCGCAACAATCAACTAAAAGATGTTCAGATGAGCCACGAGATTGCTTCTATTCATAGCGGCCTCATTCACCAAGGCCCCCTCCCCCCCCACCATCACGGCAAAACTGAACTGGGCACAGAATCCCGGTCAGGGCCTTGCGCAGCCGGTCTCATAAACACGGCCATTAATGATGTTGTTTCCCGTAACCTCCGCTCCGGAGACGAATTTCTCCGCCGGTGGTAACGCGACTCCCGGGAGCCACAGCCCGTGGCGACGAGAGGTAGACTGAATGTGTGGGTGTGCCGGGGGCGGTGATGTTCTCCAAGTCGGCGACCCCAATGGGAGAGCTGGCTGAAAATGATGCTACGGGAGGGTAACTCGGGTCGGTAGATATAATCGAGCCCAGTCTAACCTGGTTAGCCTCCCTCCCCCTTTTTCCACTGCTATATCCGAGCCGAGCCAGTGTGGAGGCCCGCACCGTACCTGCCGGCTATTTTCCCTGCCGAGCCAAAAACCAAACCGCGACACACGCTGGCCGGCCTGAAGAGAAAACGTCCAGATCCGACTCGGGGCCGAGCATGGCCTGGGGCGCGGCGGGTGATCACGGCACGGTCGCCGCGCATGGCGTTAGCCGGCGGCGGCTCTCCGCGGGAATTGCGGCGTCACACGCGCGGTCTCGACTCGTCGATGGCAGTGGAACGATCGACGACCTGGTGCCTGATAACCCACGCGCCGGGGCTGTTTTACAGAGAATAAGCGGGAGACGTATAAAGTAAATAGATAGACAGGGTGGCCCCAAATGTTAGGACACGTTGGGGTTATTCATTTCTGTTGACACTTGCAGGGAAAATATTTTAACACTGTATTCTTTAAATTAATTTTGCATCTATTATTGTCATCATTAACATCTATTTATATATTCTTCCTTCGAGGGGGTCACCTCAGATGTGTCGTTTACAAATCTCCACCAAGATCCCTGGATGAATTGAGATAACACAATACAATCGATGTATGTTCAAAGATTGAACATGTAATCTATAAAAAATAAATAAGTCCTAAATTAATTTCTAAAGAAAATTCGTGCATGCAGTAAGGTTAATGGGAGTCAATAAAAAAATTTGTTCAAGTAAATTAAATAATAATTAAATGTGATTTGTAAATATAGATACAATAACCCTATATGTCTTGACTTTTTGGCCACCCCAGTGGTGATGTTTACACACCACAACAGGTAGTCGACCCTAGGAAAGGCACAGGATCGGTTCAGATAATCGTCACCAATGTTGGCCATGAGCAGGAATCGATATCGGGTCAACGGGTTCAGAGTGCAGCGCGCTAACCGCTACACTTGCGCGACACTCGCGCGACACGACACACAGTGTACACGCGCACACACGCACACACATTCGAGGCCAGAGCGAATAAACAGTGTGTGGGCATGGCGGCTCTCACATCCTCGCCCTCCTTGCGACACGGCAGCGAGATGTACTGCACGTGCGAGTCCTTGTCGCTGCCCTGGTAGCAGCTGACGCGCGCCCGCTTCATGACCGCGGCGATCCGGCCGAGCGGGAAGAGGCAGAGCGCCGACTCGTTGAGCGGGAGGCCGCCGTGGCCCTGCGTGGCCGCGAACGCCACGAACAGCACCGGTCCCGTGCCGTCCCCGTCGCCGTCCCCGCCGCCACCGGCCAGGCTCCGCGCCAGCTCCGAGCCAACGCCCTCCGCCAGGTACGCGTCCTGCGCCAGCGGGTACGCGGAGGCGCCGTCGCGGCACGACAGCGGCGCCTCCACGTACGACTGGTAGGTGTCGTCGCCGAGGCAGACGCGCGCCACGTAGCTGGTGAAGGGGCTGGTGGAGAGCGTCGACTCGTGGCGCGCGAACACGAAGTAGGCGTGACCGGCGTGCGCGAACGCCGCCGCGAACGTGAAGTGGTACGTCGAGTGCTCGCCCACGATGTGCGCCCGGTCCGCCACCGTGAACGCGTCGCCCGCCGGCAGCTGGTGCAGGTGCCGCGTGCACATGGGCCACAGCTTGTAGGGCGCCATGCCGCTGCCCACGAACAGCATGTCCTCGCCGCCGACGCCCGGCGCCACGAAGCCCACGACCCGCACGCTCGCGTTGCTCGACACCACCGTCTGGCTGTAGGTGGGCGACTCCACCCAGAAGGTCTTCTGCGACACATCGTCCGGCGCCAGCTTGGCGCACGTGCCGTGGTGGACGCTGCCGCACACCACCAGCGAGCCGCCCGAGCGGTCGAGCACCAGCAGCATGTTGGAGTTGTTGGTGAGCTGCGTATCCTTGCAGTGCTCCAGGGGCGGCAGGCACTCCTTGCTGTCATTGACGGGGCCCGTGCCGAGCTCGCTCTGTTTCGTCAGGAACGCGTCGAACTGGTACACGAAGTTGACGGCGCCCACGTACACGCGCCCCGTCTCGTTGTCCACCAGCAGGTGGTTGAGGGCGGTGGGGGTGCTCACGGTGATCGCGGTATCGGCGCCCCGGCAAACCAGGACGCAGTAGCACAGCAGCGCCAGCCAAGCCGATGCCGGCGTGAGCAAGCACCGTGGCGTCCGCATCCCTGCCGGCCTGCGACACGGGGAGGAGATGATCCTCGTGTTAGGGTAAGGACACCATTACGAGGTCTTGATGAGAACATTAATGATCGGGATTTACCGCAAGTCAAGGATTACCGGACGAGGTGGCCCCAACCCCACCGTGACTTCAAAGTTACCAGTGACGTCACTGTGATGATGCTCCACTCAAGCATGTCACTAGAGCACGGCGCTCGACTTTAAATGTTTTTTTCCCCCTCACTAGCAAAAGCCTAAACAACACAATTTGTGCAACCGGTACGGTTGCACTTAGGCAAATCCACGCCTCCGGCGATTGCATGGATCCCAGGTCGCGATACCTGACGCTGCATGCAGTGAGCGGAGCCGTGTTTCCAGGGGGTCAGTGGGGGTCACGCGAACCCCCACGGGACGCATCCAACCCAATCCACTCGCATCGATCCTCACGCCCTCAACCCAACGCAGCACGAATCGGTACCACCCCCGACGTAGGAAAAAACTTTAGTAGCCCTGAATTATACGGCCAAAGAAAGGAAATCACTTGATAACAAAATGGTTCCATGTAATTCACTGCACAAACAAAGATTTGAACCACGAAAGTTATGGCCTCCTGAGCGGGACAAGTGACATTCCTGGTCTGGGTTCAGCGGGGAGTGGGGGGGACCAGATAACCAAATCCACACAGCCCTACGGTGCGAGAGCACGACACAAACTACAGTGGCACGAGGCCATCTCGGCTGGCCGTGGGGAACACGATGGCCCGCAATCTGTATCCGGGCCGCGGCGCCGCTTCATGCGGCCCACGGCCACACGAGGGCCCACCCCTTGCAATCGCCCCGGCAGACAATGTTCTCATCTGTCACCGCGCGAACTTCCCAGCCATGATCATCCCCGGTGCCGAAAGGGGTCGGATATTTTCAACCTGGCACAGACACGTTTAAGCGCGCGGCTCGGCCGCTTTTGGTTCCCGATAACGATTTGAATGTCCCGCTTCGTTGGGTGGAAAGGTGCCACCACCCCCCCAGGCTGCGATGCACCGCAACGTACCGCGATAACGCGTCTTGCGCCACCCGCATTAACCGACGGGGCGCGAGCGCTCCGCGAAACGCCTGACTATCGCACCGCGCGAACTACTGTCGCTGCGTACACGCAATGTCGTGAGGGGGGTGGGGGAGAGCGTTCGCCCTTCATCGTTTCAATAACATTTAGGTCCAATTAGCGGCGTGCAAACTCTTCTGCGGTGTCTGCGAGAGCTCCCGGTGTTTGCAGTGATCGGGTCGCAGGCGACGCGGTCGCTGCTTAATTAACAGTGAATAATTAATTGGCGCGGCCAATTTGGCGCACACGCCGCCGCTCGCCGCTGGGTGTGGCCGGCATCCAGCGCCGTCCGTCGCCGGATGCATCCGCGGTAACCAAGTTAATTTCGTGGACGGCGTCGGCGAATTATTCAAGGGGACAATGTTTGCGTTTAATTAGGGCGCCGAGCGCACGTCAGAGGCAGTTTGGCTCAAACGTGGACAGCCGTTGGCCTCAAACGAAATGTCGGCTTCCCCCCACGGAGCGCGAGCGCCGTCGTCAGCGCAATCACACGGCGCCGACAACGGCGGTGGCACTGACGAAGCCCAGGACCTGGCACGCACGCTGCTGTTTCCATCCACACCAATTAGCATTAGCTCACGCGCATTCACGGTCAAACATGCGCGCGCGCGTTCATCCACTCGCACACAAGACAGAGACAAAGATTCTCCATTTCGCCTTTACATATTTTTGGGGCAATTGCTGTGAGCGAGCACCTATGAAAAGCTGGCACGCCACAATAGGGGGTGGGTGGCCAGCACCCCGCCCTGCCACCTTTGTCTCCCCAGTAGGTACTCATTGAAAGCTGAGTTGATCTAGGAGAGGCCCAGTACCGGTTCAGATATTCTTCACTGCTGTTGGTCGTGAGCGGGAATCGAACTCGCGTTGCCGGGCTCGTGGCTCGGCGCCCTAACCACTGTGCCACCGCTCACTCGCACACACGGACGGACGCACACACGCACGCAGGTCGTTCTTGCAAGTGAGACCGGTCCAGCTCTCTCTCTCCGGACTTCTCGCCTGGTCAGACAAATAAACCTCAACGGAACCCCGCAGGTCGCCCCTCTTCGCCGACGTCCCATCACTCCGCGCCCCCACCCCCCTTGAGCATACGTGAGTAGGGCTTGTCGAGCACTCGCTGCCGGCCCACCGTGGGCGAGCGCACGGACCCCCCCCCCCCCCACCACCTTCATGACCTCTCTTTCTCTCTCTCTCCCTCCCTCCCTCCCTCTTTAGTCGGCGGTGACGGTGACCAAACCGTTTCCCGATGGAATCCCTTCCGGAGATCTCTATTGAACCCCTCGTGAATCCATTTCATGGCTTTACCCTGACCTCTTATACAAACGTAGAGCGGCAAAGTCAAACAACAACAAAAGCTCCCCCACCGTCTAGCCTTAACAGACTGTTGGGGCAGGTGCTGTTCGTGAGCACCTGTGAAGGCCGGAAAGGCACACGAGGGGGTGGTGTGGCCAGCACCACGCCGGTGCTGAGGTTTACACACCGCAACAGGCACTCATTTAAGGCCCAGTCAGAATCAGAATCTTTACTCAGACTGGAGGAATCACAAAGAGCCATGAAGCACTTTTTCACAGATGTCCAGTAGGGGTGGGGGTTAGCAAGTTACAACTAAACATAGAAAAATACGATAGGAGTGCGAAAGAGAGAGGTTATCAAGTCGCAATTTGTTTAATACAAGTATGATTAATTGCAAGCTTGGGCAAGGCACCAACACGACAACAAAAACAGTCTCAGACCATACCAAATCAACACGCAGTCCCAACAAATAAATTGGGACATTAAAATTGAGTCAAACTCGGGTCACCGTGTTCGTAGCGCAGCGCGCTAACCACCGCGCCGCCACTCCCCGCCACGCGCAGAGCAACACGCAGGCACCCCGAGCTCAGCGCGCAAAACGCGAGATGGGGGGGCAATGTGGGCACGTGGGCGCTGGGTCGTGAACGCGAAACAGAAAGTGACAAAACCCCGCTACTATGCCGCACGTCGTAACGGGGAGGAGGGGACGGGGTCTCGCGCGTTGTCAAGGGAAGTTGTGGGGGGTTGGGGTGTCAATCGTTTCGCCACGGAGAACACAAAAGCAACGGAACGGCCAGCCTGAGGCGAACCCTTACCACGCTGCCAACCAGCGGCCATCCTCGCCCACAACCCCAAAACCGCCCCCGCGCCAATCAGCCACGAGCAGGACCCCGAACCAACCAGAAAACCAGCCACCAGTCCTGACTCTACCCCTAACCCCAAACAAACAGCAAACCAGCTACCAGTATTCACTCCACCCCTAACCCCAACCATCAAACCAGCCACCAATTCAGAGCGCTTCCACCGACCCCAAGCAACCAGCAATGAGCACCGGCGAAGGAGCACCGGCCATCTGATCAACCATACCCTTACCGATAACCAAACCATTCTCAGCGGTTCACCAAATCCCCTACATTCATCGTTTTCAGTTTCTCTGTTCACGGCACCACACGTCCCGCTTCTGACACTGCTCCCAGTGTCGCCCGTTGGCCGCCGTGCCCCCCCCCCACCTCCGCGGCTGCCACTGGTCGTTCGGTCAGTCGGGAAGCGAGCGCCCCGAGACAGATGCTCCTCTTCGGGTCACGGGCAACGACCGTCAGAGCACATCACCGGAATGCGGCACGGCAAGAGCACGGCGGGCGGGCGGGCCTCCCACCAGCACCCCCGGGGCACAAGCGAGCGCCACTCCTCCGCGCCAGCAACACCGCACACCCGGCCGTTTCACTCCTTCGTGGCGGCAGCAGCGAGGGAGGGATGGGGGCGCGCGCCCACAGACGCCAGTCCGCTCGTCCGCTCTGCGGTCGCGCGGCAAATTATGGGGACGTTTACTCGGCGCGCAGTCTTGAGAGCGGCCAAAGCGTTGATGACAGCTTCCCAGAAGAGCCCAGCCACGCGGGGGGAGGCGGCAGCGGCGCGGCCTTCTCCCGCCCAGCCCGGCTAGGCGGTAGTTTTCTCACTGAGACAGCAGGCGTGGGGAGAAGTTGCGACTCCCTCGTCAATCCACCGCTTGCACGAGGGCCTCCCGGTTACCGTGCGGCTCGCGGAGGGGGTTGTTTTTGACCGTACTTCACCACGGCGGTCAGTGTGGGCTGGTGAAGGACTCCGTGGGTGGGTGGGGGAGTCCCGCTGGTTTACCGGTGGGAGGTGGGAATGTGTCTACCCCTGGGGGGAGGCGATGGGGCACGCGACTGCACGACTGCAGCTGCACGGGCCCCGCTGGTCCAAAACGACAAGCGGTCAGCGACAAACAGCACTCGTAAAAGTTGTTTTAGATATTATTCAAGTTGAGGCTGCACCTTGCTAATGAGACAGCCACGATGACGATGCTCACGAGTGAATCCTGCGGTGTTTTCCAAACAGACGTCATGAACCACAGGAACTGGTCGACCCAGGATTTAGGATTGTTTGAGTTGCGGGGGCGGTGTCGTCGAGTCGAACTGGTCCTGCACCGCGCCTGGCACCATCGTCGGGGCGGCGCCGTACCCATCCCTGGCGGCGTGGGGGCGTGGGAGGAACGTGTGCCTGGCAGTGGACGGGGGGGGGGGGGGGTGGGGGGGGGGGGGACCGCCACCACCAAATACAAAGATCCCCCGTGTACCCTTCAATAGACTGCTGGAGCAAGTGCTGTTAGTGGGTAGCCCGATGAAGGCTGGCAGGGCACACGAGGGGGTGGGTGGCCTGCACCCCGGCCAGCCGCCTTTGTCTCCCTCGTGACGATATGTACACACCGCACCGGGGACTCGTTTGAGGCCGAGTCGACCTAGGGGAGGCCCAGGACTGGTTAGGATAATAGTCACCTAGCGTTGACCGTGAGCAGGAATCGATCTCGGATCGCCGGGTTTGTAGCGCAGCGCGTTAACCACCCCCCAGCCCCCACCCCCATCCCCCACCACAATGGCCGCCGGGGTG